AGTTTGAGCAAAGGCTTCAAGAACAATTCACACGTATCCAGGAAACTGACTGCAGACGTTGCATTTAAATCAAGACAATAAGAAGAAATGTATTGATACAATTACTTTGTCTTTGGCTTTCAGACCTCAGCAGGAAACATAGCACTTAATTTTGATAGATATGCATGAACAGGAGCAAAGAATAGGACTGTTTCCCCCCCAGCCCTGAAACTGGTTGTGGAGAGGAGATAGATGAAGTTGGTCAGTCTGTAGACTGCTGGTTAGCGAGACGGTCTGCTGAGCTTTATGGGGAGATCCAGTGGCTTGCGTGAGCTGATACTAGAGCTTCACTCAGGGACCTGGAAGATGGAAGTCCAGTTGGATAATACAGGTTGAGAGAACCTGTCAATGATGATCAAGCATGAAGCGACAGTGGAGAGGAAAAACTCCCCGTTGGGAAGAAACCTCTGGAAGAACCAGGCTCAACATGGTTGTCTTTTACCGGACAGGTTGAAATGAGACAGGAAACGCAGTGAGAGTCCAGGAGGAATGACTCTCTGATGAAGCTTTAGCTACGATGGTGGAGGAGGGGATGGAGGTGGGTTGAAACAGGGTCATCTGAATTAAGTCATAGCGCATCCACCGCCTGCGCACAGGAGCAGATAGGTGCGCATCGGAGGCCTTTTAAGATGAGCTTGGATGCCGATTGGCTTTCGTGGAGGTGTGGTTCAAAGCTGATTGGCTGTGTCGCAGGTGGATGTATGAAAAGCAATGAGTTTCTTCAGTTGAACTTCTGCCTAAGCTCCATTAATGTGGAAAAAAAAAGTGCCATAACACAGAATTCAAGTTGGTTTAGGTCAACATATAGAATCCAGTAAGTGACGTTTTAGGAGCCATGTTTTCTGCTGCTGAAGTCCCACATACATTTGATCAAATCCAAAGCCAACAAATGAGAACAAATTTAAATTAAAATCAAATGTCCAGTTTCTGTGCAAAAACCTGATGGTTGAACCTGTCTTTACTTTGCTGAACTGCTTTTATGAATTAGGGAAAACATAAATTTATTCCAAACGCCTGTTTTATCAACAGACCTGTAAACAAGCAGCATCCTGACTTCAGACCAACAGGATGATGAACATGATAGGGTCACCAGAAAACATGTGGGCTGGCATCAGAGATGTTTGGTAAACAAAAGATTTGCAGACTACAACCCGATCATGTTGAAGCACTTCTCTGTTCAAGCATTTTTTTAATTATACAGTAAATATTTGACTTTATAAGAAATAATGAGACATTGGGTGTTTCAAACTATATTTAATTCTCAATTTTCTTGGATTATTTCTGAACCAATTGTCCTATTTTATTTTGAATTGAATGTGCTGTGTATACTTTCATATTAAAGTAAAAAAAACTATATATATTTAGAGCTTATCTTCCTTTTTCATCTAATATTTTAGTTATTCCCAAAGGGAATTCTAGTTTATTAAAATATGCATCTTGAGTTGTGGAGCTGAAATATTTAAAACGTAAGCTGAATTTCCTAGAATGATAAATAATGTCTTTGTCCTCGAATTTGCTTTGCTGCCATCCTTCAGCGTGTCTGTCTTCTGTCTTTCTCTCAGAAGGGGGTAAATGAAATATTCAGAGGGGGCAGGCAGGACACAATGATGCTCCATTAGTGGGTATGTTTAGAAAGAGTGCTTGAAAAAATTCACAGTAGAAAAAAAATTCAGGGCTGAGACGTCAACATGAAGCTCTTCTGATTCATGAGTTCTTCCACAGGTATCAATCAAACTGCTGGCTAAGCGCAGAAATCCTGAGGAATGTGTGGTTGTTTTCTGCTCACTGTGAAATGTTACTGTAGACTTAGACTCAACTTTATTTATCCCTTGGGATTATTCCTTCAAGGAAATTCCGGTCCCAGTAGCTTATAAAGAGAATGCTGGTGAAGATTCTCAGTCATCCAGGTTATAGTCATTCCAAAATAAAAAAAAAAAAAAAAAACAATCCACTGGACTTTGTTTCCAAGTTTGAAAATGTTTCACTTCCCATCCAGGAAACTTTTTTAATTCAAAATGTCAGAAATAGCGTTGGAAAAGCCTTGAACTCAATGCTAATTCTAACATTTTGAATTGAAAGAGCTTACTGGATGGGAAGTGAAACGTTTTTTTTTTTACTATTTTGGAACTTAAATACAGTACCAAGGGTAGAGTTAAAGCAAGATGCCATTAAAGATAAAAAAAAATATATAATAACACAATATATAAAAATAGTGTATATAGTACAAGAGAGCATAAAGAAGTTGTAATGTCCTGGAATATGTTCCCTTTAGATCAGAGATGGGAAGTAACGAAGTACAAATACTTCGTTACTGTACTTAAGTAGATTTTTCTGATATTTTTACTTTACTTTACTACTTATTTTTATGGCGACTTTTTACTTCTACTCCTTACATTTTTACACAAATATCAGTACTTTCTATTGGCTCGTTACTTTAGTTTTGAATAATTTCAATGGAGTTACTGTTATTATTTTTCACGTCATCAATACCAAATTCAATCTAATTGGATGGGAATCTACGTTGCATTTGACGCACCACTACAAGATGAATTGAAAGATTCGGCGGTATTCATTTTTTGGCAAATCATTGCAGCTTGGTGGCGGTGGCGTTAGCGTAGTAGTATGGACGACGAGATGATTGAAAATGAACACAACAGAGATCTAGTCCTATTGGCAGACATCCATTTAAAATGTAAGCAACGACATGAAAAAAGTGGTTTCTACTTTTACTTTTATACTTTAAGTAAATTTACAAGCCTGTACTTTGTTACTTTTACTTGAGTAAAGAAGTTTAATCAGTACTTCCACTTTTACCAGAGTATTTTTTAACACAAGTATCTGTACTTTTACTCAAGTACGGAAAGTGAGTACTTTTGCCATCTCTGCTTTAGATATAAAATATCTGCACCATAGAGAGCTAAGGAAAGATTACACAGTAGTTCCTTTGGATTATCGCACTCCAAGTCAATATTGTGTAATCTGTATAATAACAGTGATGTGACCTCCTTTCACTACTGGCACCATAATGAGTGAAGCAGGTATTTGTACTTCAAGATGTATGTCGGTTCAAAGTTCAACTGGTAAAAATTAAATCAGCATCTCCAAAATGTTTGTTAGAAAAAAATAAAAGTATTCTGATATTTTTCTTTCAGTTAAACAGCTTTGCTAACATTGAATATGACAAATAGTGAAACAACAGAAGTAACATGGCTCCCTAAATTATCTCTGACTATGAAAATACTTTACTTTAAACAACTCAGCAACAGTGTAGTTTTGTTTCCTTAGACCTAATATGTGTTTGTGTCCCTTTTTACTTACAATATGCCTTCCATTATGCTTAGACTTAGACTGATTTATTTTGTCATTTTGTTTACACAAACAAATTGAAATTTTGTTAAGAACAGCTCTCTAGACAACTTCATTTTTTAAAGTGTAGCCTTGAAAACAGTAAAAAAAATACATAAAAACAGTAATATAAACATATGACTGTATATTTACAGTTCTTACATTTCAGTTTAGTTTTTTTAATACTTAAATATAATAGATATAATGAAATACAATAAAATAACCCATTTTACATGACAATAAGCAGCCTATTGGCTGTGGGGAAGAAACTGTTCTGGAATCTGCTGGACCTTCATCGGATGTTTCGAAGTCTATTGCCAGAGGGCAGCAGGGAGAATGGCGGGGGGTCATTTATGATGTTACAAGTTCGAGACATGCAGCACTTGGATGAATCTTCTCTGCTGTTTTCACCACTCTTCTCATCTTCTTCCAGTCTGAAGCGCTGCAGCCTCCACACCACACAGTGAGACAGCTGGTCAGAACGCTCTCTATGGTGCTTCTGTAGAGGGTGGTGAGGATGGGTGGGGGCAGGTCTCCTCATCCTTTGCAGGAAGTACATGTGCTTCTGCGCCCTTTTGATCAGTAAGGTGGTGTTTTTTACATTCCAGGTAAGGGTGTCTGTGATGTGCACCCCCAGGAATTTGGTGCTGTTGACCACCTCTACAGCTGAGCTGTTGATGACCAGTGGAGCGTGGTTAGGACGGTTCTTCCTGAAGTCCAAGATGATCTCCTTCGTCTTCTCCACATTCAGGATCAGGTTGTTATCTTTGCACCAGTCCACCAGCTGCTCCACCTCCTCTCTGTAGTTCTGGTCGTTGTTGTCTCTGATGAGGCCCACCACTGTGGCGTCTTCTGCAAACTTCACCATGTGATTGGTGGTGAACCTGGGGTCAGGACGCAGCCCTGAGGGGAGCCTGTGCTTAGGATGATGACATCAGAGGTGTTCTGTCAAGCAGCCAGTTGCAGAGGGGTGTATTGAAGCCCAGCTGTTCCAGTTTGCCCATCAGATGCTGTGGGATGATGGTGTTTAAAGCAAAACTGAAGTCCAGGAACAGCATCTGCTCGTGGCTGCTCTTCTTTTTACTTACAACTTTCCGTTATCTTTGGATGTAATTCCCTGTGAACAGCAGACTCCTTTGACATTTTGGGCCTCAGTCTGTTCATGTTGAAGGTACTGGTGACTATCTCACCAACTGTCAGCCATCCTCCTTATATTTGTGTGCAGCTTTGATCATTTATGTTAAAGAAGACTACATTTTATGTAATATGGGTTGGATCAAATAAAATCAGCTGTCATCAAATCAGCCTGTTAACAAAGAAACAAAGTGACAGCAATGAGTCAGGGTTGTTTTTGGTGACAGGACACACCTTAATCCTCTGCAGACCTGCAACCTTTTCCAGAGCGCAGATTAGAAATATTTTCCCCCTCCTGCTTATAGCCTCGCACTGACAAACGGAATCAACCTGTCATTCGCTGATCTCCTTCCTTCTGTTTCGGTCGGGCGTGCTCTTCATCCGACGGACTGCCGCATCCTCTTCCTGCGCAGCGCTGCATGGCAACGGGAGGAGGAGGCTGCGCGGGATGAGGGAGGGTACCGCGGCCCCACGTGTCCTCCTCGCCGCAGACCCGCTCGCTTTCCCATCCCTCCGTTTCCGCATACCGCACACACACATACACAGCTCCTGCCTTACACCCAGAGCCTACTACGCATCCTTGCAGCGCTGCGGAGCGATGCGTCCGCGATGCGCGCTCTCTCCTTCCTCGCCGATCCCATCACCGATCAGTCTGTAGGTCCGGATCGATTCATGGTTCTTCTTTTTGATATGCAAATTCTGACTTTCCGTTGCGGCGCTGGTCGGAGCTGAGAGGGCGAGAGGTAGAGAGGAGGGAGAGATGAGAGGACGCGCATCATCAGATGTTTAGCAGATTAACTTTGGATCCTCGCCATCATCTCTGCTGTGCGTTTTTGGATCTTTGTCCTCCTCTCCACCTGCCGGAGGGTTGTTGAAGTTTGGCGGGGTTCTCAATGCGGTAATCAGAGGGAATATGTGAAGATCATGCTGGTGGTGTGGTGCTTCATGGTCTTTGGTGCAGTGGGCGAGAGGCTTGCGGTGGCAGGTAAGCGAGAGGGAGGTGAGATGGGAGGGGGGGTTGAGAGGGGGAGCACCCTTTGCATTACCTTTGCATATATATATATATATATATATTTTTTTTTTTTTGCCATTGAGCATGACTTTCTTTTCTAGCCCGGGATTTTACTGTTGCTGAAATAGCTCTCTGACCACCCCCTAGATTTGCTGCATCAACATATTTCTCCACCTGCTATAAAACACATCACCTCAAGTTGTTTAGTACACTTATAATATGAAAGCACAAATTATTTGCTGTCTGATAACCATCTTTTACATTCAAACAGGCCCTATGTTTTTATGAGAGTCGCCCTCACCAATGAGTTGCATTATCCACATCCATGAAAACACTTTTTGTATCCTATAAATGTCTTAAAATAGCAGCCATTAAGCACACAGTGTGCTAAATTAGGTCATCACTTATAAAGAATATGCTTTATGCTTATTAGGAACATCAGGACATGTTTTTGGGATCTGATGTTCTTGTCCAGGTGCAGGTGGAGGTTTGTGGGACTGGTTTGCCCCCTCAGGCCAGCAGGATAATGGGGACACTGAGATCACCTATCCCAAACGCCTGGTGCAGCAGATCAAGTCAGAGGAGGAAATGGCTCATGGCTTCTTGGATACCAGGGTAAAGAATAGCAGTGGGGGCAGCTTGGTAAGTCACCTCTCAGATTCATCGTCTTCTATATTCGTTCTGCCGTTTCTCAGCCTGCAGGGTTAATTTAGAAACCAGGGATACCCAAGTATGCTTGACATGGAAGCTTCCTACTAAATTAGAACTGGATCTCATTAAAACAAAAGCATCCCAGATGGACTGAATGTACTGGATTCACTTTTTTTCAGTTTTAACTCTGTTGCTACACACCATCTATAACAGAAACTCTCTTGAACTGAATGAAGACAGACTATATATGGGATATATATATATATATATATATATATATATAGACATATATATATATATATATATATATATATATATATATATATATGTCTATATATATATATATATATATATATATATATATATATATAGACATATATATATATATATATATATATATATATATATATATATATATATATATATATATATATATATATATATATATATATATATATATATATATATATATATATATATATAGACATATATCTATGTCTAAGGGTCTCCATATGACCCTTAATTAAATATTCAGACGTCACGTTCATTACCTTGCTGAGCCCCTCCCTGCCTTTTTTATTATTCAGTGGTGTGTGGAAATATGCCCTCATCAAATATGAAACACTCCTGTTGAGAAGTGCTGCATGGTCTAGGAGGATTCAAACAGTCCCTATTTTGTTAATGTTTTGCAATGATTTTCAGATTTTTTCTATCCAACATAGAAAGAGCCACAAAAAAAAAAAAGTCACAGTTCCTCGACAGCACTAATAAATGAAAACATGCGGTTAACAAAAATAATCCCAGTTCAAAACAACGGGTAAATAGTTTCCAGGAAATGCTGCGTTTTATGTTTGGGAACATTGAAGATGATTGCGCACTGATATATTTAGACGTAGCAGTGTTTGAAGAGGATCTGAACCCTTTTCTGTTTTTTGTGATGTCAAATATAAGCTGGTTATATTTATATAAACTTTCCATTTTCTAAGATGATTATCTTGAAGGAATATGGCATTGAGGAAATCAACTAAGTACTGGTATAATAGTTTGGCTATTTTATTTCTACCTCAGTTATTCTATTACTGAACAACAATGAGAACAATTCAGTGACATAAACACATTGCTTAGACGTGTTAAAATCTTTCCAAAGGTATGAGTTGTTCATCATTACCTAAACTATGCAGATTTTCTCTATAAGCTACATATAGTTACACTAAACACTTTCAGAATATACATTTTTTTAGAAAAATATGGTAAATTGAGGTGTCCTCTGGGCAAATCATATCTTTGAAAGTTTATTTCAGTAAATCAAACTAAAAAATAACCCACACAGTATTTTTTTTCTACATATTTCCGCATTTTATATTTCTTAATTTCAATTAATATAGCTCAAAGGTAATTAAAATGTAACAGTTCGTTTCTTTGAAGATAATAATGCTGCATAAAACAATTAACATATTTTTTGATACAGACTTTTGGTGGTCATATTTTGGGGAATATCACTGACAGGAAATAGTTTTAGTAAGTTTAATATTAGTTTAATAAGTTTAGTTACTTCTGAAAAAGCAAAAAAAAGCTGTTTGTTTATAAAGGTACTTCTTCCAATCATATTGTCAACATATAAGTGGTAAAAATCTGTGAAAGAGCTTGGTGCACAAGCAATCAATATGGAGAAAAAGGGGACTGGGATGCTTGTTCACGCTCATTCATTTAAAGTCCTATTTGACAGGTTAAAGTATTCTTCTTTATTTGAAATCATAGTCTGAGACCTGAAGGATGAATGTAGATACACAGAATCAAAGTGACTTAAGGTACAGTTTAAGTTCTCAGCAAGAGCTGGGTTCCAATAAATCTTAGAACCCTTTATGATGAAAAACTTTACTGAGATCTTGATTTCATTTCTAACAGGACGAGGTGCTACCAAAATTACCAGTACCTGCTCAAATGGTGTTGGAATTAATTTACCTAAATGGGCTTCAAACGGACCGACACAAACCTCCACTGAATATATATGTGGAGTATTTTATGTCAAAAAGAGGATGTGAGATACTAGACCCAGCAAAGCAGAAAAGCTAAAGGTCTTGGGAGAGAAAGGAAATGGGTTTCCTTAACAGTTCAGTAGAAACCCTTTCACACTTCAAGGGGAGATAAAGGCAACTTTTTGTTTTTCTCTTATTTATATTGAAAGAGTTGATGCAGTGATGGGAAACAGAAGTCAAATGGCCTCTTTCATGCCCCTGACTGGATAAGTAAGGTAGTTATGATCCCCAATTGGCTGACATGTAAAGCGGCAAGCTGGAGTGATGGGGTGAAGATGTATGGTTTTTGCTACCAGCTAGCTGCAGGGGTCACTAGTTTAATCAAGATTACAAAATCATTACCAAACAGAAGAATAACAAAATATGATTTCTCATTTATGTTCAAGGAGTGCTCAGTGGAGCAGTGTGTAGCACTGCTGCCTTGCAGCAAGAAGGTTCTGGGTTCGTTTCCCGCCCTGGGGTCTTTCTGCATGGAGTTTGCATGTTCTCCCTGAGCGTGTGTGGGTTTTCTCCGGGTACTCTGGCTTCCTCCCACAGTCCAAAAACATGACTGTTAGGTTAATTGGCTTTTCTAAAGTCCCCTTAGGTGTGAGTGTGTGTGTGAATGGTTGTATATGTGTCTGTTGCCCTGCGATGGACTGGCGACCTGTCCAGGGTGTACCCTGCCTCTCGCCCGTAGAAGGCTTGACCAGCACCTCTCGTGACTCCACTTGGGATAAGCGTGTAAGAAAATGGATGGATGGATGTTCAAGGAGTCTCTCGGCCAATGACAGGATTGCTTTAATGAATAATCTCTAATTGAGTGTGGGAAAACTTCAGACAAGATTTTAGGCGTAGTGCTACTCCACAGGTCATTTTAGCTGTGTGGCATATCACTGTCTTAACCGGGGATTTAAGAAAGATGTGAGCAAGCTTGAAGTTAGCTCATATTTGCACGTTTATCTGGCATATCTTTTGTATAAGAGGTTATGGGATGTGTTTGCATTGATGCAGTACCTCTTGCAAAACGAGATCTGCATAAAGTGAGCAATACTTGGACATGCTTGAAATTAGTAGCCTACATATTTTCTAATATTCAAATTATGTAAAAGATAAGCTGTATGCTGAGACCATCTAAGTTAACAAACACATGGTGTTTTTCTCTCAACACATACTGTATACATTTTTAACACATAGTGGAATTAGTTTCACATTTATATCTTTGTAAATTAAATCCATGAAATTAACTTAAATTGCACAACTGCCACCGATGGCAGCCAAGATGTGTATCACATTGTTGCAAAAATCCTTATGCATTTTAAAATTATTTTAACATAATACCTAAGTAAGATTTACCTTATATGACAAAAAATGAGATGGTTGTTTTTTATATTGCGTTTTCTGCATGTGCTAACGTCTCGTTCCTTTATCTGCTTGTTAGCTTTTCTGACCCCAGTCTTACTGCTGGGTCACGTGTCATCCTCTCTCTTTTCTAAACCCACCTATCGCACATGCAGCAAAAAAGGTTTTTTGGCACCCTCTGCTGCTCTCACCTTTCACCATTTACTTCCAAAGAAAACATCCAGGCCACCATAAATATGGCAAAACCTTGTAGGAAAGTGTTTTGTTGTCTGATCAAATAACCTTGAAGTTTAGGGTAAAAAAAATGAATGTCTGAATCTTAAACATGTTTAAAGGGGATGGTTTTTGGGGGGACAGAGAGTTCCTATGGGCCTGACCTCCGGCAAAATAGCATCATGCTTTGTGAATCTAGGTGGCAGCAGCATAGTGCTTTGGTCCATCTGATGAAAAGCTGCTTTTTTGTTACCAAAGTAGGTAAAAACCCATCAGTTGTCTCTGAGATAATACATTATTTTTTTAAGTATCACTTAAAGTCAAATAAGGACATCTGTTTCCACAAATGCAAAACTTTATGGGAGAAAATATAGAGCTCTGGAAGTGCAAGTCCAGAGCTGAATTTGATAGAAAGGATGTTATGTCACCTGTAGAAGCATTTGGACAAGATATGTCCTCACAGTATGTAAGATTTGTTTAACTCTTGCTTGGTAAAGATGCTGATAAACCAAAAATAAATAAGACTTAACATTGAGATTAAATCAAAACAAAGTATAGATTGATTGATTGACTTTATTGATCTCACAGTGGAGACATTTACTTGTTACATTAATTCAAATAGTCAAAGAAGAAGAAGGTACCACAGGAGGAAAAAGCTGCATGGGATATGTACAGTATAGAAAGTGTTTTTTTTAATAGTAGGATCACTATACAGTGTCATTGCATGGGGAGTTTATATGGGTATTTATATAGATGGATATTTATATGTATAGTTATTGCAATGGGTATCAAATACATAGAGACAGTTATTGCACATGGTATCAAATGGTAAATTGGACATTATACATTGCTCAGGTTATTGCCGTTATAGTGTAGCATTTTAGAGTCTGGTGGCAGCAGGGATGAATGACCTGCGGTAGCGCTCCTGTCTACAAACAGGGTTTAAAAGTTTTTCACTAAAGGAGCTGCTCAGCTCCTCTACAGCCTGGTGCAGAGGGTGGAAGGTGATGTCCATGATGGATGTAAGCTTGGGCAGCATCCTCCTCTGAGCCACTTCCTCCACTGAGTCCAGAGTGCCGCCTTGGACAGAAACAGCCTTTCTCACCTGTTTGTTCAGTTCTTTCTTTCTCCCCCCGGTTGCCAGGAGCCCAGCAGAAAACAGCGTGGAGGAGGGCTGATAGCCCCACAGAGTCATAGAACGTTTTAAGCACCATGGGCGTCGGTTTGCATAGGGACCATAGGGATATGTCCCTATCAAACTTTTGGCCCGACCTACTTGTCCCTACCAATAATTCCATGTGAATAACATGTTTATAATTTACAATACAGTGTTGTTGCAGCAGGGGCTTCTTTTCTCGCAACTTGTATATTGAAGTTAATATTTTAAATTCTCAGTGTCAGTTCCTCTTATAGTTCCCGCGTCCACGTAAATACAATACATCTATTTGCAGTCCCTTGAATATGTTATTTTGCTTTGTTTTACAATACAGAGAATATCAGCATATCAGATAAAAAAATAAAAATAAGAGTGGGTATTACCTCTGTTTGCCGCTGCACAATTCTATTTCTTCAAAAGAAAACACCCGATAAATACATAAACAACAGACATATTTAGTCTATTTTTGGTTAAAAAGGCACGTATTTGCCTTCACTGGTAAGTTCAAATGTAACCCTTTTCAAAGTGTTAAGTTGTCCCAATTTTACATTATTCTGAGCCACTGATGCTTCAAACATTGATAAACAGCATATTGTGTGTGTAGTGCTTATAAAGTTTGTATAAATGTAGCAAAAAATGCTGTTTTCTCTTTAAATGAAATGCGCCCTGATGCTCACATCAAGCATTAAAAAAAGTAGGAGCATGCATAATGAGTAGGACCAATGACATCAGAAGAATTCAACTTAAGACCAATAGTGTCCCTACCAAAGTTGAGATCAAAACTGCGCCCTTGGCCTGCACACTCCAAAAGATCTGAGTCTCCTCAGGAGGTGGAGGCGGCTCCTGTATAAGTTTTAAGGGTGTGGTCACTGTGTGTTTATTCCCTCTTATATTTGTTTGTTTTTACATTTGAATTGTGCAGGAAATTTGTCCCATTGAATATGAAAAAAGTTTCATCTTTTTCTAATTTTAAATAGACAAACGGCAGTATTTTAATTTGGGTATGCAGAGTTCTCAGATCCAGAAGAGATCAGCTAATTGCCAGCATTTAAACTGTTTTCACATAAAGACTGACAAAACAAAACCCCAAAATCTTTTGTAATTGATCCATACCTTTTTATAACATTTATTATGATTAGATGCCCTAGCAATGCTTGGACAGGAAAACACTTCATCCACTTATAAATCGTGTTTTTCCGATAAAAGCAATAAAGTGATGACCAAAAATGGGCGAAATGATTGAACTGTCCTGTCAGACAACACTGTCAGAGATTCACTCTAGATGAGAGCGTGGAGCAATGTTACTCTATCGTGATGATAACAGAACGTGTGCAATACTTCAGGCTCTCCAAGACAGTGGTGAGAAATATGTACTCACTGAAGGGAATGATTTGCGGACAGTGATGCATTTCATCGTAAAAGCACAATGATTCACTGGGACCCTGTTCCTCTAGACAGAAATCAAAGCCAGGTTGGCACAGTCAGAGCTGCTTAGTCGGTAGTAGATCTCTCTCTGTCTATTTCGGCCCTACTGTCTCCTCACTTCCAGGAAGCTGGCAGCCATCCACTGGGGACATCGGCACAGCTTGACTGATTATAGACAATCAACATGTAGTTCTGTCTTCCTCACTTCCTTCCCTTCTGTCAAGCCCCCTCTATCATTCACCTCACAAAGCTGCAGCAAATATCAAACAGCCTATGTCAATCAATAAGTCCTTTATCAGTCTTTGTGATTTATCAGCACCTGAGATGCTTTTAAGGCGTATTGATCCTGTTGAATTATTCATGACATAATAAGTATAGCTTTAACTAAGTGACACACTTGACCGCAATGTTTTTTATCGCCATCTGTCTGAGTTATATTTATCTGATTCTGTCCTCAGCCTGTCCACCTGGCCCTGAGCTGTTTTCAAGTCGAAGCCTTCGGACACACCTTCACTCTTGACCTAGAACTAAACCAGTTAGTATCATCAGATCCGTTTTTATTCCATCTTTCCTCGTATTAGTGAGCACTCATGATCTGCTGCATCTGTTCTCATTAGCATTTTCTCTGCTCATGCACAAATGCACTTAGCGCCTCTATTATGTTACACGACAAGATGGGGAATACCAATGTGGCACTCTTACAGGCACACACACTCATTTTAATAGCAAAACATGCTAATAGGTCTAGTAATCCTGTGTGGAATACATTTGAAGGGAGAACCTTTGGTGTAAAATATCCCAGATTACATTTTTCTGATCTTGCTACAGATAATAATGTTTATCTCTCCTCTGCCTTCAGTCACCTGCTGTCTTCAGATTATGTGGAGAGGCACTTTAACTACAATGGCAAACCCTTGCAGTCTATGGTAAGAGTTAATTTTTTATTTTATTTTTTTGAGTCTGTGCAGACATCACTGTTAAAATTGGTGTTTTCCTCTAGCTTATGATATAAAATTTCTTTGTTTTATCAGAGTTGCTGCACTGTTCTTTTCTAAAACATCTCTTTATTAAAGAGGAAATCTCTAGTTTTGTTTCCCTGGATGTCAATTACAAGGTTTTAGGAAACTGAACTGATCCTGTCCAGGGTGCTGTAGAGTTTTTTTGTCAGTATTCTTCCCTTCTAAGTTGTTATTTTGTTAAAGCACTTTCGCTGCAATGCATTTTGGGCTGTGTCACTACCAACTTTGCACATTTATATAATTTCTGCACATTTATTTCTTTTCTGCACAGCAGCTGTTGGCTGTTGCCACAGATTGCTTGGCAGATTTCTGTCTCTACTTGGATCTGACCATTCTAATAGACAAATATCTAAGGTATGCTGTTGTAGCTCTCCTTGTATGCTAAGGTCTGTTGTCCTGCTAGAAGATCACCAGCCACTCCAGAATCTATTTGGACAGGTCACTAGTGTCCTATTTTTATTTAATTTGTCTATTTGCTGCATAAACAAATATTGTGTTGCACAAAGGCCCACATGTTTTAAGTTTATATGCCACCTAACCAACTAAGATGTTTTAAATGTTAGCAGGGTGGACAGATCTGTTGAGGGCATGACCTTTAGTTATCCCGTCAATAGTCCTTCTTGAGCCCAGGTTCTTCTACTTGAGCTTTGCATCAACTGCAGCTCATCCAGAGTTGCTGTCGGCTTATTGAGTGCTTCTATGGATAGTATTCTCTCAACTGCTCAGTTGGGTTGACATTCCTCTTTCAGTAAGTCTGAAGTTGTGCCAAACTCTTTTAATTTTCACATAATGGATTGAGGAGTGCTCTGAGAAACGCTGACAAATTGGCTTGTTTAAATATAATTTTGCTGTCTTTAACTTCTCCATTAAGAGGATGCATAAGGCTGAAGCTTATCGGTCTAATTGGCCCTGGAGTCGTTTTGATACCATCCCCAACCTCCCACTGTTTATTCTCTCATTTCACCCTAACCATCAGGGTTGCATCTGTCAAAATGTGTCTTGGGGTGAGTTTATGCCTTTGAATCAGGATGAGTTACGCATTAAGCTATGCTTCACTTATGCAGCTAGACAGAAGTCCAAAGCACACCACAGCCTCATTTTAAGACAATAAATGTAGATTTTAAAGTGGCCTAGTCAAATCCAGACTTTATCTGATTGAGAAGCAGTCGCCTGATTATTAGCAAACCTTTCAGAAATTTTCCAGTTGGGCTGAACTTGAACAATTCTGCAAAGAACAATGGATCAAAGCTTCTCCACAGTCATGTATAAAACTCAACAGTCACCATTAAACTTGCTTGCAGTTGTTGACACAAGTGCTTTCCCAATTCAGTTCTAATATTGTAAATCAGTCTGATATCTGCCAAAAAGTGAATATTGGAATATATGATTCCTGCCTCATAAATCTACTATATTAGAAAACACACAGAACGTCCTGGCTTTTTTTTTTAAGTTTATGTAACTCTTTGGTGAATAGGAAATCAGTTTTTCTCATATCTGATGTTAATTATAGTTCTTTGTTTTTGAAAATTTAATTTTTCTGTCATTCCACACTATAAAATAATTAATAAATGTATGTATGACTCATGCTGAGATCTAATCGGGTCAGTATCGGTATCAGTCAGTTCTCAAAGCTGCGATATCAGTATCGTATATAAAAAATGAAAAGGTTGTATCTGGACATCGCTAGTTGACACTAAAGGTGACACAATAAATTGTTAGATTTAGTGGTGGAGTAGTTCCTCCACAAATGGCCAGGTTAATATGCATTCTATAGCTTCCAAAACAATAAAACAGCTTTTTAAATTAAACACAGGTTAATTTGTCACATGTACGTACTTTTTCTCACAGAAAATCAAATAAGTGTCATTTTTCCAGTCTTATTCAATGTTGCTATGGAAAAATTGATCTATAAATATGTAATTATTCTAAATTTAAAATCAGTGATGCTTGTTGCTTGGATTTCTCTTTTAATGTGAATTTTTAGATTTACCATTGTGCTGTTTGATGCCTTCCAGTTGGTTTGTCTATTTATAGAACGTGCATTATGTGCTTTCTGCTTTAAAGTAGACTGCTATGCAACAACAGGATCCGGAATGTTACTGGTCTGCACATATGGGAGCGTATCTGTCAGTCTGCTGTGGCCTTTCTAAGACGCTCAGGACAAAAAGACTTAGTGTTACATACCTACACATAGCAGGGTTACACTGCTGAAAACTTCACCATAGTGTTGGAAGATGCAATATGGCTTTATTCTTCTGGCAAGGAGGGATGGTGGACATTTATATTTGCAACTTTTTTTTTTTGACAATTGTACCTCTTACTGCCCCTCAAGCACCCACCTACCCATCCACCCTTTCAGCACTACATGTACCCACCCACAGTCGCTCCAAACTCTCCTTCAGTCCCTCTGACCAATCACAGGCTTGTTGCCACAGCAACCAGTTAGCTCAGCAGCATCATTAAGTTCTTGGCAGCCAAGAGAATGAAAGAAGACAAGGAGGGAGGGAAGAGCAGAGCTATAGCAAGAGGATGTGGAGAAAGACGAGAGAAAGGAGGAAAATGCCAGTTCAAACAAAAGCATGATGTATTTGGCAGTGTGACCATGTAGATGTGTATTTGCAGGCAGTCGGTGTAGCTCTGGGTGGTGGGAGGGAGGTAGAGGCATGCAGTGCTGGGAGCGGAGACCTACAGTCAGACCAGATTGTTGCTCAGCTGGATGTAGGCCTCACGTGTCGATGCTGCTGCGGGCTGGACGTGCCAGGCGCCATGCTTTCAGGGCACGCCAACCTGTGCCTTCCTTTCAGTCCGAGCCGCTGTGAGGTTGAGACTCACCCCGCTGAGCTCAGTTTGGTTCGGGTGAAGCAACATTTCTCTCCTTTCCTGCTACTTCGTCCCCATAGCTGCAGTCTTGCCAAGAAAGCGTGAGCAGATAGTAGCGTCCTTGAGTTTCAGCCTACTTACTCTACACTTCATTCTTAAATCAAAACAGTGCTGGCGACATGAGTGTTGATTTATTGAAGAGATCCTTGAGCGTGCTTTGCCTCCACCTCCACCCTTATTGTGAATGGAGCTCAAGAGTGCGGAGTAAACTCAAGTAGGTCACCAACTGCGTTGTAACTGTGATGGTGGGGGGACATGAAGAGTGGTGGTGTCTAACGAAGTGTAAAAGCAGCTATGTAAAGCCCAGGGTCTGTCAACACAGGTATTTGTTGAAGTATTTCTTTTGTTATTGCAGGGAGGAGAGCACTGCTACTACCAGGGAAGGCTAAGAGGTTTACCAGACTCCTGGGCAGCTGTCTCTACGTGTCACGGCCTGTGGTGAGCACCATTGTTTCATTTGTCCAAATCTTGCTTCCCTCTGCATTTTTTTCTTCTGCTTTTCATTATTTCCCTTCCTGCATCCACTAATTCATCATGCTGTTGCTTTGCAGTGGCATGTTCTCTGATGGTTTCTACTCTTATGGAATTGAGCCTGTTCACAATGCAAGCAATGAGGTAAACTTTTACCTAAAGGTATACTAGACAAAATTCAACAGGGATCAATAAAGATAAAGTCTATTCATCTATAAACCAGTGGTTCCCAAATTTTTAAAATGAACAGTTAAAGGCTTTTAGATTATATTGTATTTTAATTATATCTGTTGCTTAGAAAAAATTTTTTTTCACTGCTTCATTTATTGCAGCACAAAAAATATTTTGCAGGTTAGAGTTGTCATTGGATCTTGCAACCTCACTATTGCTGGTTTGCATTCTGAGCTTTAGAAATGACTGTATTACAGACCATGTGTTGAAAAGAACCACATAGTATTTTGGACATAAGGCATGATCTTCAGCAAGTTTGTGCGTTCTAAAAACAGGTGTTAACATGTCAGCATATTTAAAGTACATTTTCAAAAAAGGTGTGCAAACAGTGCATGCAAACCTTTTTTTGCTTGTGTGCCTCCATAAATATACAGATCATATTCTATTTACTAAACTGATTACATTTGTGGGGGAGGGATATGCAAATCTATTATTTTGCACATACAAATTCTATATTTTCTCAAATTAAAACTCAACTTTTGCAGTTTTTGCATCTTTTCAGTACTTTTGAAAGTCAGGTGCAAACTCACTCGCAAAAATATCTCTGTGCTCATTATTGCAAAAAATGATGGGACAGGTACAATGCTATAGGATGTAATGAGATTCATTGCACATGTAAATAAATATCTGCACGGTCAGAAATGACAATAGAAGAATTATGGAAGTAAATCTGTGTCGCTGGGATTTGAATTAAAAATGCTACTGAAATTTAAATGTTGTATGTTTGTACTTACTGTTTCAGTGGTAAAATATTTTCAGAAAATATTTTTGATCTAAAAAGAAGTTCATTGTCATTATTTCTACAAAGTTGAATTTAATTTGTTATTTTCTGTTCGAGCTAAAAATTCACATTACTATTTCAAAGTGATTACATTGTCAATACGTATTTTTCAGTTTAATTTTTGAGTGTTAAAAAAATCTGCATATAAGAAAATTCAACCTTTCAAAATTCAAACTCAATATTTTCAGCCTCCTGAGATTCAACTGGTTCTATTTCACTGTCTTACATTCGGCGTCTAAATTCAGTGTAAAAAGGGAGGGGTTACTTCAGGTCACGGACATTAGCAATGGATTGTGGCGTCCAACACCCAGCCAATCCCGTTACGTTACGTATCCAGTGAAATAGAGCCAGTTGAATCTCAGGAGGCTGAAAATATTGAGTTTGAATTTTGAAAGTTTGAATTTTTTTATATTAAGATTTTTTTTAACTCTCAAAAATTAAACTGAAAATTAAGTATTGAAAATGTAATCACTTTGAAATAGTAATGTGAATTTTTAGCTTGAAGAGAAAATAACTAATAAAATTTCAACTGTGTAGAAATAATGACAATGATTTTTTTTTAGGTCAAAAATGTGTTCTGAATATATTTTAACACTGAAACAGTAAGTACAAACATACATTTAAATTTCAGTGCCATTGTTAATTCAAATCCCAGCGACACAGATTTACTTCCATAAAGAATTATTTTAATAAATAAAATATGTTTAAGCAGGGTGGCACAAATTAATGCAGAGGGACAGCAGCCAATCTTTATACAATTAAATCAGTGGGGAAAAAATGGAAATAAATATTGTGGCAGGTTTATTTAAAAAAAAACTAGTATGTTAAAAGAGCCTGCAAAGAGACATGAAGGGGTTGGAAATTGTGCATTCCTTTTTGCAAAAGAGATTTTTTTCTCCCTCCATTCAACAAAACAGAAAGTACGGTCATAGTTTATATAATCAACAGACAAAGACAACTTTCTAGTGTTTAAAATTTCATTTGTTATATTTAAAACTATTCATTTTCATTATTTATCTTAAACTTAAGAGTTTGGTTACCTGTAAGGTCCACTATAGATAGATATAGATAAGAATGCTCATAATGCTTTAACTGCTTGTTGAACACGCCAACTGCTCATTTTAATGGACTTAAGTAAAACGGTTTGCATATCTTAACATTTGCACGGCAGGCTTTTTAGCTCAACAAAAGCAAATGCACGATCTAAACTCTTTTTTAGATGAAGATTGTTTAAATCTCAGCGATGTGGAAGAGAAATTTAAATAGATAAAAAGCAGAGATTCCCTTTTGTTAAAGTCTGGCTGCTTTTCCCTTCCCTACCTGACCCTTCTTAAAGGAAAGTTTTGAGTTGTGTTTTAGGTAAGAGTCTTTTAACTCTAAACTGGAAATGATTGAGGTATCTGTCTCTAATATGTAACTGTTCTTCTTTAGGAGGATGGAGCTCATTTAATCCGCAGGATGCCTGATATCAGACTTTCCCAGCACTGTCTAGGTGAGCAACACCAATGTGCCTCTCTGGGGGTTAAAGTCTTTTAGCTTTTAAGACTCTTACCTTTACCCTAACCTTTTGCCGCTGAATGGCTCTTCTCTTGTCTTTACCAAATAAATAAAAAAAATGATAAAAAGGGGCCAAATTGTTTTATTATATTCCTTCAAAAAATAAAAATAAGTCAGATATTATTAAACATTATGTTTGTACCCTTAATAGATCAATGTGGACAACAGGGCTTGTAATAACCGTAAAAAATGACTGCCTACAGCTCTGATTCTGGGTTTTTCCAGAGTGTAAAGAGAATAATGAGAAGGACAGCAGTGAAAGTGTTGAAGACGACAGCAAACCAGACCTCAATCAGGATCAGCAGGTGACTGGGGGGCTGAGGAGATCCAAAAGGTTTGCCCGCAGGCCCTCTGTTCAGATGGAGACCAAATACATTGAGCTGATGGTGGTAAATGATTACGATTTGGTGAGTTAAAGGGACGATCATGGCGCTGCATAAGTGTTGTCTTATTCTTTTTTTCCTTATTGTCGCTTATCTGATATGTAAAGACAATTAATATCTAAATCAAGCATCTTGGTTCACCCTGTTTAATGAGTGTGATGCATGCTAATTCATCTATAGCTTAAATAAACCCTTTAAAGATGCTAACGGTAAATAAACACTGTCTACATTTATGAAATTGGGATTATTTTTTTTGTCACTGATGATCTGTGCCATTTCCCATTCTTTTGGGCTGCGTGTTTGCATCACAGATCAATTTCTTAAGCCATCTGTGGATCTTTTCTCTCTCTTCAGTTTGTGCAGCTGCGTCGCTCGAGCAGCCAAACCAAAAACTTTGCCAAAGCTGTAGTCAACACAGCAGACACGGTGAGGACCGTCAATCCTCCTACTCCTTAACTCCACAAACACCACCTGTCAGGATGTATCTTCTCTTTTGGAGAAGGTTCATCTCTCCACGGCCACAAATGATTAAGCCGATCACTATCTTCAGATCTTTCAGGAGCAGCTGAACACCAGGATTGTTTTGGTAGCCATGGAAACCTGGACCTCAGAAAACCTGATGCCGGTGATGGAGGACCCGCTGATTACGCTGCAGAACTTCATGAAGTACAGGAAGGACAGCATCAGGGAGCAGAGTGACGTTGTTCAGCTTTTCTCGTATGAAAATTGGACTAATTTATAACCTAAAGAATTTTACTTATTGGTTCGAGCAAAGATTTTTTTCTCAAAAAGTTGTTTCTGTACTTTTCAGAGGACGTACATTTCACAGTAGCCGCAGTGGGACCGCCTACACAGGAGGGGTGTGTTCTCCAACAAAAGGAGGAGGAATTAATGAGGTATATTTGGCATTAGGCTATTAATGATTTAGAAAAAGCAGATTTTAAGACTCCGCAGTTAAAAAAAAAATAAATAAATCTAAGATTAGATTTAAAAATGTAATTTGGAATCATTAATATTCTAATCATTCTAATTAGCTGTTTCTACATTATTTTGTGTGGGTCTGCAGCACGTCATTCAATTCACGTTTAAAGTTAAGATTTTCCTTTAAATATTAATCAAACTCTTTAGATCAAGTATGTCAAGAAGACTTGCAATGATTTGTTTTATTTATTTACGATTTTGTTGTCCGTGTTTTATAAATAGCTGGTAATATTATATAAAGGCAAAGAAGCCAAGTCACATACCACGAGTTAAAAAAAACATATTTTAATTTTCAAATAAACCTATACATACCAAGAGTCTGTCCTGATAGAGTTAACTTATTCTTTTTTTAATCTGAAAATAGTTTTTGCACCAGATGTGATCAGCAGACATAAACATTGTCATATTATCAAACTCAAAACTTAAACACAGGTGATATTTTCTCACTATTACTAAAAGCCTCATTCTGTCACTAATATCAGTATAAGTAAGGCCATGTACTATAAACGGTTAATGTTATTATTCTCATGTTGTAATTCAATTTACATTTTTTTCATGATATCTGTATAGGAGCAGTAAAATGTTTGCATGGATATAAGGAAAATCCGGCCCCAGTCACCCCAAAAATAATAAAAAACCTGATGCATTCATATCCACCCAAAGCGCAGTTTATCCCATTGATATCTTTGCAGTCAAAATGACACTAAATGGAAACAGTAAGAGAAAATATAATCTCATAGCAGTAAGAGAAAAATGCCTGTTCAGGCAATCTAAAGTGTTCTGAGTTCATTTAGTGCTAATTTATGCATTTAGCGTAATAAAAGCAAAAATACAGCATTTATACGTTTAATGATTGGGGGTTAAAAGCGGCAGCTAATTAGATGAGAAATTCAAACAGGATTGTAAACAGATTTATGCATGGGCGGTTCTAGACGGGGGTCAACGGGGGCCAGTGCCCCTGTAGCTCATGTCCTGGCCCATGTTCTGGCCCCTGCACTGATGACATAATACTTTGTTACTTTTTTTTTCTCTACAAATTCTGTTTTACTAATAATTCAAAAACAATAAGGTAATAATAAGGCTTTTGTGGTATTGAGATAGGATCCCAGATTTTATCTACAAAATGTTTTTTTTTTAATGCTCTACTTTTTACAGGTGAATTTGTCGGCTTTTCTTCAGTTCTAATTCAGATTTTATTTAAAAAAAACGGTAATTTGAACTTAAATTATGGGAAAAATATGTAAAATCCCGAAATCCTGAATGTATATTGACCTAATAAGAAATAGAGTTTTAATTAAACCTAATTGAATTGAAAATTTACTTTATGCAACCCTCTTAATTTATTTGAATCCCTTACCGTGTTTTTTATTTCACGCTTTTCTGTGCCCCCTTGAAAACAACACTGGCCCCCTCCTGGCCCTCTGGTACATTTGGTCTAGAACCGCCACTGGATTTATGTCAGTTCATGCTCTGAAGACGTCACCATTTTCTTTAAGTCCACCATCCACAGCAATATGCATAATGGCTGGAGATAATCTAACACTGCTTAAACCATATATAATTATACAACCATAGGGCTCTGCAATATAAATCAAAAATCATATTTCCATATTTTTAAGCGAAGTGACATTTTAAGATATTTATCTTAAAGTGTTTTTTCTTCTCATCAAGTAATTATAGAAAAACATCTGGGTCACAATATTTTCAAAAATGTCTCATTGGCTCATTTAACAAAGAGTAGACAAAAAGAAAACAATGGCTGAAAAAAATAATAATTAAATGTATAATATCAACACAAAATAGAACATCTTGTTAAAAAATTGTATAGTCTTATCTTAAATCCATTGTGAAATCTTGATATGATCGAAATGTTGATATATTTCCCAGCCCTGGACACACACAACATGCATATACTGTTAATGTCTTAAGAGTCACTAATCTGCCACAGTGACGATGTATCCTGCTAAACAGAACGATTCTTGACCCTCTTGTGATTCAGTTTTAATTATTTTTTTTATATGTGGCAGTGAGCTGCGTTTTGCTTCTCAGTTTAGATTTCTTAGTGTGAAACAAAATCACTACTAGATGCTGTCTTTTAAGAGACACCTTTCTTGTTTCCCTGTTCCTGATCTACTGTTTTATTACCCATCTTGTTAGGTCCAAGCTCCTGAAAAGGCCTGTTCTGCTTAGATTTGTCCAAACAGGCTCGATGGCATGCAAGTCGTCTGTTCTCTGTTCAAAGCCCCTCAAAATAGTTCCTCTGCAGACACTATGCAAATGTCTCTGATTATGACGCCGTGACGCAAAGGCAGCTAAAGCCTGGACTCCGAATCAGATCGTTTGTCAGTTGAGAAGGACTTAAAATGTATTTATATTTACATGCTTAAAAATGAGGATAAATCAACTGTTCATATCAAAGCTCTGATTTTTGAATTGCAACTCTCTTTCCTTTTTTGTCGTCATACTATAAAGTCACTGTTAGCTATTTAGGGAAGGAAAGATCCCTTTATAGCCCCACAGTGGAGAAATTCATCGGCTGCTTTGTGCTGCAATGTGCTGCCTCCATGAGTAGCACATAGGGAGCCATTTGAGGTTAAGGGTCTTGTTCACCAGAAGGTGGTGACAACCCCGTGATTTTGTCCAAGCCATCCCAGTGGAAGGCGTGTATGAAAACTACTAAACTACTAACAGATTTAACCACTTATATCTTTCAGATAAAAGTGGTTAAATCTCTTAATTAGTGTCAGAAAATATCAGTTTCATTAAAAGGATTTTAGTACCACCAAAAATTTTAATGTATAATATTTATCAGTAGGATTGTATCAAAGCAATATCCATTTCTTGCTTTACGTTTCTTTTTGTTTAAATTTCAGTATGGTAGTGTCGGGGCAATGGCCATCACTTTGTGTCAAAGCCTTGGCCAGAACATTGGGATGAGATGGAACAACGCGCGGACCTCAGCAAGTAAGTCAACATTTCTGTTTCATAGCATTATTCTTTTATTATTTGGAACTCAAAAAAATTGTGGAATTGTGACCTAAATGTCTAGGAATTCATTATATTTATATATTTTTTGAATTCCTTTCTTTAATTTTTTTATGTTACTCATAAAAAGAATGGAAGTTTTTCTTTTACTAATTTTTTTTTTTTTTGCAGGTGAGTGCAGATGCCCAGATGCCTGGGTAGGATGCATAATGGAAGACACTGGGTAAAATCCCTGTTTAAAAGCAGTTTCTATGTGTGTGTTATCTTCTTTCTTCATGCTGAAACCCGTTAACGTATTTAATTGTGAACAAGCTTGAATACATGTTGCTAAAAGAGGAGACTCCAGATTCATGTGTTAAGAATGACAAATTGTCTTTGGACTGAGCTCCTTCAGACAGATGGGACAATAAAGAATACAATTATTTGAGATATACTCTTACTGCAGATGGGAACGTTTGTGTTAGATTGCTAAGTGATGGAACACACACCCACGGTGGATCTGGCATTCCTGACTGGCCAAAAAGCATTGTACTGTTTGATTTTGAGTGCATATCTTAATCTTCATGTGTCTGCGTGTGCGTATTTATGTTTGTGATCACAGATATTATCTGCCCAGAAAGTTTTCTCGCTGTAGTGTTGACGAGTACATCCAGTTCTTGCTCAAGGGGGGTGGCAGCTGCCTCTTTAACAAACCCAATAAGGTGACAGCAATAAGGGCCTCTTTCTCAACTGTTAAATATTATATTATATTTAATAGATCATATTATGTATTTTATTTTTTTATTATTATTTTAGCTGTTGGATCCTCCTGAGTGCGGAAACGGCTTTGTGGAGCCAGGAGAAGAGTGTGACTGTGGATCTCAGGTGGTGAGTAGCAGGCATCACCTCATGTTCTGATATCAAGCTGGGAATGTTGTAGCGTTTGTAAAGCTGATCTTTTCCGGGCTTCGTCTGCAGGAGTGCGCCCGCAGGGGGGGATCCTGCTGCAAAAAGTGTACCCTTACCCATGATGCCATGTGCAGTAATGGACTCTGCTGCAGTGGCTGTAAAGTAAGTTGGGCAAGAATGCAAACAGCCGTGTTTCCAAGACTTTGTTGTCTAAGGAGAAAATGTGTGGGTAAAAAGATTTATAATTTTTTTTTTTTTCTCATGCCACATTTTTCTGATGAATCCGTCATACAAAGCGTTTATATACACAATACTTTTTTGGTATAGGTATACAAATGCCTAAAATAAATATTCCTGTAAAAGCATTTTTTATTTAATCAAATTTGTCTGCTGAGGGAAAAAAACTGATTTTGGAAAAAATTAAATAACTATTCATGTTTTTCCAATTTCCTAGAGAACAAACATGTCATAATGAAAAAGTTTTACATTCATTTTGGCCAGTGGTCAAGGATGGACATTTACCTACGATGAATAATCTTGTGAATTGGCCCAGTTAAAATAATGGAATAAAAGTAAAATAAATATTATTAACTCACTATTTGAGAACTGCAGCAACCACCTTTTCTCCATAACAAATCTAAGAAACCACCTACTTCCCAATGTAATATTTTTTATTAATGCATTGAAAAAAAACATCCAAAACATGAAAATGTCACTTTTAACTGGATCAGTACTTTGGATGAGGTTTGAGATTTTCCTGCCACAAACATTAGTAAACAGTTTGATGCAAAATAAAGCAAAAATATGTGGAAAGCAAATCATACCTATATCAAAGCATGGTGAAATATCTTTAATGCTGTGTGCTTTTACCTTTTCAAAAGGCACTATTGCTGTGGACTGTGCGTCATCACAATGAACCGTTTAGAAGCACTCAAAACAAATCTGGTAAACTCTACAGCAGAAAACTGAAAATTAGTACTTCAATAATCTGGATTTTGATTTTTAAAAATTTCCAAATTATTTACTAAAAGAGAAATAACCTCTTTTTTAAATTGCAATCCCTATTTTAATACCTAAATAATTTTGGAAACATGTTTGTTAGGCAGGAGAGATGACTGCAGAGCTGAGGATTTAGGACTGGATGATCCACAGAGAGTGCAAGCAGCAGCAGCATTTTAGGATCTCTGTCTGTTTTTCTGTTAAAGGGATGCAGTCTGCAGTTATGCTTCTATAAAATTTAAGGAGTTTACCTAGAGAGAATATGCACATCTTTACCATAGCTGACAATAAAAAAAATCTGTTTTTGCCTGACCTGATAGGCACAAACCAGATACAGGTTTCATAGAATGAATTCTATTTCTCAGTTCTCTCATATCCAATTAATTAAAAATATCCAAAATATGTGCATTTAAATTACTGGTCTTATAAAAAGTCTTCCTAAACAGACCTCAGATAATGCTAAGTACCTTCTTTCAGTCACAGTGCTGCAGAATTAGCTGCTACTTTCCTAAAATACATTCTGCCATGCCCCCTAGTGGTAGATTTATATATATTATTAAAGAATAATGAAGCGATTTTTGGGTCGGGTGAAGCATTGAACAGATATACTGTAGGAGGAAACCTGGAGAGCCTAATACACCAACATAATCACCGTAAAACTGATTGCACGAAATAAAAAGATTGATTCTTGATGATCAATGACCTTTTAGGTCAATTTTTAAATCATATCTGGTATTCAGCTGAATACAGCTTGTTTTGTTTTTTTTGCTAGACGTAAAAAAATCGAGATTTGAAAAAGCTTAAAATTTTACTAGTTTTAGCAAGATAATGATAATTTTCTATGGATTGATCCTGTACATCTCAGTACACTGGAATATGCATTGTAGTGAGGTTCATTGGTCTGATTAAGAGGTATTAAGCTTATTTTTTTATCATTTGATTTTAATATTCCAGTTATTGTGTTTGAGCAACAAGCAAAAAATAACTGTAATTAACAGAAAAAAAAGTCTTGACAACATCTGTTTCTTCCAGTCACATTTTCAGCAACCTTTATGATAATCATGCACTCCCTTCATTAACCTTCAGTCCCTTTTGTTTTGCTTCCCAGTATCAGCTGAGAGGTGTTGTTTGTCGAGAGGCCGTGAACGACTGTGATATTTCTGAAACCTGCACAGGAGACTCCAGCCAGGTGAACATTACTGTGGAGAACCTCAAATAAAAATGACACGACCTGTTGGAGTTTTTGTAATTTGTGGCATTTTGTTCTTTGTCAGTGCCCTCATAATGTCCACAAACTGGATGGATACATGTGTGATAGCAGCCAGGTAAGACTTGGATCATGCCAGTGTTGTTCTGTCAGATGAGCAAACCCGATCATACCAGCATCCCCATAGTCAATACCTGTTTATCCCTGGCATTTACAAAAAATAAACTTTAAACTACCTCAATTGGCGTGGATCCCTTTAGTCATGTACAAAAACACAATTTAATTACTTACTTTTTGGTGTTTTTTGAAGCATGTGGAGATCTGACCTGAGATCTTTTTTTTTTGTACATGACTAAAGGGATACACGCCCGTTGAGGTAGTTTAAAGTTTATTTTTCGTTCAAAACTAAAGGGATAAATGCAAATCTGACGTCTTACGCATGCGTGGACCATAGGTATGCTGGTCCTACGGGTCGATCTGACAGAAACCCTGTTGTTTTTAAGCTCCTTGTTAATGCGGGCCTCATGCTTTACCTGCACTGTTTGACCTCCATAGGGGCGCTGTTATGGCGGACGCTGCAGGACTCGTGATGGACAATGCAAAGGACTCTGGGGTTATAGTGTGTATTTAAAAAAGAACAATCACTTCCATTTGTCATGCAGAAATGTAACATATATTGACTACTACCTTTCTTATCTCTGATCGGTGCAGATTCAGCAGACAGGTTCTGTTATGAGAAGCTGAATGCTGAAGGGACCGAGAAGGGAAACTGTGGTCTTGGGCCTGGAGGGAAAGGCTGGCTTCAGTGCAACAAGCCGTGAGTTAAACCAGTAGCAGTGTCCTGAGCTGCAAATCCAAAACACAGCTTGCTGTTTGTAACCAGATCAGATGCTCATATTTATTTCTCCAATCTCCTCGCCTAAGGGATGTACTATGTGGCTTCCTTTTCTGTGCAAATGTCACAACAAAGCCAAAATTTGGTGACCTGCAAGGTGAGGTGACCAGCTTCACCCTCTATCATCAGAACAAGTACCTGGACTGCAGGTAAGACGCTTGCATACAGAACATCTGCAGGAAGGTAGTTTACCGTCAGTGATATTTTGCTTCTCTATTCTCTCACTCATGCGGCACTTTTGGATGCTCCACTCAGAGGCGGCCATGCTTTGCTAGAGGACGGCTCAGACATGGGCTACGTCGAGGATGGCACGCCCTGCGGTCCCAACATGATGTGTTTGGAGAGACGCTGCCTCCCTGTCTCAGCCTTTAACCTCAGCGTCTGTTCAGGATCGAAATTTGGACACATTTGCTCCGACCATGGGGTACAAATATTAACAAAATGATTTCAATTTGAGTTGCAAAAAAATCTAAATAAACCTTAAAATAAATTAGAATAAACAGAAATTATGGCAGTTCTGTAGGGATTTCTTTCATTTATTTCAACGTTTTTAACCAAAATAGCATATTCTTGGGAGAATAAATAAAAAGACGTACATATTTCAATATTTTACAAATAATTGATCTCTTTTAATTCACAAGAAAAATGTTCAGTTTAAATATGGGGTTTTAAAGGGACAGATTATTTTAGCAGCAAGGTTCTGGTTTGAGGAATCTGTTTTCTTTAAAACAAAAACTTTAAATATATCTTTTATTTTTTATTATAAACCCAATAGCTTGTTTAAGGTTCTTTATTTTCCATGTTGTTCTAATTTAAGGCTTAGATTTTTGGTTGCTCAGTATAGTTTGACTGTTTTCTTGCTCGCTTGTAGTTAAAAGTTTATGAAACTCATCTAGTGTTGAAAACTAAAACTACTAACTTGAAGGTCTAATTCAAGGCTGTGAAGTTTATATGCTATCATACATCTTCCATATTTAAAATTTTTGATTATAAAACAAATTTTATATAAGAATAAAATAACCTGAGGAAAGACAAAATCCAGTTTTTAAATACTTTCATTTAAAGAAGAAAAAAAGGCATTCAAAAAAGTTTGGGTTTTTTGTTTCGTACCATGTTTTTCTTATTTTTTTCCTCGTTCTGCTTCTTACCTGCAGACCTGCAGCAATGAGGTGAAGTGTATCTGCGACAGGGACTACACAGGAAAGGACTGCAGTGTTTTCGATCCCATCCCTGAGCCCACAGTCCCAACCGGCCCGGAGAAAAAAGGTCAGAACCCAAAATTTTCCCTCCATCTCTTTCTCCATCTCTTTCTACCTCTCACAGTAAACCGCCCCCCCCACACCCGAGTCTCTTTGCATCATCCGTGTGCCTTCTATCTGTGCCGAAACACGAAGTAGGCCACCTCACTCAGCTGTCACCTTAAACCATGTGGTATTTTCTTCCCTGCTGAGTCTTACTGTTGTAACATCGTAGGTGTGTGTTGAGCATATGTGCTGACAAACTGCTTTTTGTGAAAATGTGTTTGTGACTAATAGGTGTTTTTGTTGTTGTTTTTTGGGCACTGCATTTTTTTAAGTGTCTCTTACTTTCTTGCAGTCTGCCAATGAGAGAGAATTTAAGCAGCTGCTCTTTTAGGGCCAAAACAGCCACCCTGAGAAAGAGGGTGTCCAGCTGAGAGAGCAGAAGAGAGGGAAATGATAAGAAAGTAATGCAATTCTCTCTCCCTTTTCTTTGTGTACCTGTTGTCCCCTTTGACCTGCCTTACGTTGCTCATCTGCCACCCAACGGGATGCACCCCCTCCCATCATCTCTCTCTCTCTGTCTGCAGGTATCCCACCATCTGCCTCTCTCTTTCTCTAGTTGATGTCGTTGACGTACCGTGTTGATGCTGTCTTATGACGTGTGTTTTTTAGTGGTGTTGTTTTGTTTCTGCCCCTCCTCTTCCTCCGCACCCTTCCTCCTCCCCTCCTTCCTCTGTGCAGGTCCCAGTGGCACCAATATCATAATAGGGTCCATCGCAGGTGCTATTCTCCTGGCAGCTATAGTCCTAGGGGGAACAGGATGGGGATTTAAGTAAGAGTTCTGGCATGCCTTTGTGTTCCTGTCTGCTTCTACCTTAAGAACCCCCATCCGCCCCTCCCACTATCACCAGTCTGAAATAGGTGCAACTCATTGCACTGTAACTGGGAGGGGAAATGGGGAGTAAACTTTAAGATGCTTTCACTGCTTGAATGCTTTAGGGTTTAAGATCAATTCACCCCTTAATCCTCTTTCTAGCGAAGTCCCTTGCAGTAATGACAGAAAAGAAGTAAAAAATTTCTCTGCCAGGATCTGTTAGAATCAATCTCTTTTACACCACTGGTGCCACATCTGGAAGTTCCCTTTACTTTTGGTTCAGTTTTCTTTTTTTTTTGCCTGACATTACCTTGCAAAAGTTTTAAAATATCCCAAATTCATTAAAACTTTACTTCCATGGAGTAAGACTTTCTTTTAATCTTCAAGCATGCTCTTAATTATTAGTTCACTTGAAGCAAATTTGAAGGGAAAACAAAAGAAATGAAGATTAAAAAAAAAAGAAATTAGGGATGATTCAAGACTTTTGCACAGTATTAAACATGTCGGCTTAACCAAAGCAGTCTTTTTCCTCTTCTACTTTCATTACCTTTCTGAAGCCTCTGTTGTTTATTTTCCTCAGTAGGCCTCATCCTTACCCTAAATCCTCTAACAGAAGTGCAACATCGCCTTTGCATGCTTGCTATTGGTCGCTATGGAAGTTCTGACCTAAAAGGACTGGTTCTACTGGCTAATTAACTTGTCTATTTAAAAGTTATGAATAACTGCATGTCAGTCCTTTTAGGGCCAATGGGACAGTGCTGGTCACATTTAATAACATCTCTGGTAAAGATGCACTAAAAAGCCTTAACTGAATATTTTTTCTTTATCTACTATAATGGCTTTTTCCAAATTCTGTAAAGGTCTAACCTCTAAATAGTTAATATATACTTGGTCAATTTAGAAAATGTAAAGTATACATCTTTTAGAATGTCCAGTCATATCCTATTAAAATAATTATGAAGTATTTCAAGTATTTCATAACCTGATTTTTCTTAGTCAAATGTGGCCGGCATTGTACATTTAGGTGTCTGTGCATGTGTGCGTGAGCAAGTTTCCTCCTATTGGTCAGATTTATGAACCATTTCTATGGTGCTCAGTGCTTTTATGACTTTAATCTGACAGTATATCAATTTGGCAAAACTGTCAGATTAAATTAGACTAACAAATCATTGTCTGATTTATGCTTTGTGCTTAAATCTAAAAGTGTTTTCCAGCGTTGCTGACACAATATAAACCAGTTGAAGTTTTAGTCTGATTTTTGCAGAGTGAGATCTTTTAAGATGAATATTTGATCTTTTACTTGTACAGCTGGTCTTCATGTTTTTTCGTTTGGTCCCATTTTAAGCAATGTTTTAATAATCTAAAAGTATCTGTAAATACCTTTATGTTCGATTGTTTTTTCTGGTCTGGCTGGTTTAACCTGTTTTAACATTTGTCTCCTTTCTTGATGTGCTTCAATGATGCAGAAACATTCGAAGAGGAAGGTACAGTCTTGCAGTGGCGTGACCACGTGATACTCTGAAAATATTACAGAATTACCTCTTTTAGCTTAAAATAAATCCTTTTAAAACACCTAAAAGTTCATTTTTACCTTAAGTTTCATAGTTATTTCTATGCATTTTTAATCACTGTTATTGGATTGATTTACTACTAATTTGATTTGAACTACTAATGCTTGTCCCTTAATCTTGCCACTATGCTTGACTATAAAGATGAATTTGTATGTTCATGTTATTTTGCTCTCCATCTGTTTTTATCTTCTCACAGCTGTTTTTTTTCCCTTTCTCTTCTTCTGTTTCAGATCTGGAGGAGGATAAGATCACACTCTGTCCCTCTGTCTCTGTCTTGTCCACGCTTGTCTTCCTCCTCGTGTCGTTTCCACGTTCAAATAGAGGGGAATAAGAAAAGAAAACACAAGTCTTCCATTTCAACCCCAAGATCTCTCCAAATCTCCTTAGATAATCACTTCCCCCAAACTCCTATCTGTCCCTTTCATTTGTTCCCTTTGGGGACTCCACCATCTTGGGGACTACCAGCCAAATCACTCTAATGTGGCTGCTGCCAGCTGAGGACTGTGTCCAGGCTGCACCTAAAGCAACGATGAGGCTCCGTCTGTGGATGGCACCCAGTCCAGAGGCACCTATGAATGTGCTTTTGTGTCTTCTACTCAAATTTGAGACATTAAGAAAAGGTACACATCAATGATGGTCCGATTTGATAAGAGGCATGTATCCAAAACCTGCCTGCACAGAGAATAGACCAGCCACCATTTTAGTCCAACATTAAATGCTGGATGAGTGCACAGACCGAAATAATGTGATAGAAAATGAAAACTTGTCTTCTTTTTTTTTTTTTAAGAAATGGACCTGAGGTTCAGTACCTCCATAACCTGCTGTGACTCAGCGCACCTTTAAATAAGACCGTTATCAGTTTAAATCTGCCACACCTGGAGAAAAGGAAACATCTGCAAAAGAAATCCTTCAACTGTCTGCATGTTTTCCAAAGAGAGGCGAAGGATCGGCTAGTAATCAGAATCTGAGGTTTTCGGTGCCTGGTAGAGAGAATCATACCCCGGAAAACTGTTTCACACTTTTTCACATATTAGTTAGCATGCTATGTGATAGAGCAACAGTAGTGAATGCTTGTGAAGTGGAATGATTCATGGTTTTAATTTTTATTTTTATATACTAATTAAATTACTTTCAAAGTCTTATAATTAGTAAACAGACTGTGATTTAAGTGCTTCAAACATACAGCTGATCTGCTACCTGAACTAACCAATCAAGGCATGGCTGCCCTGCCCCCTAAGAGGACATGCTAAACCAAAGAGAGCATTAATCACAGAAGGAAGCTAGAGGCCCTTTATAAATTATTTGTGCACTTTATGGGAGAAAAGGCAAGAAAATGTTATTTTCTGATAAAAAAAGAGACAAAGGAAGTCGAAATTATAATTTTTCACAGGTCGGGAGAGACAGCAAGCCAGTGGAAGAAAGGGCTCTGATCAATGCACCGTAAATACAGGGCAATCCTGGAATAAAATCTGCTAAAAGGCTGCAAAATGGTGTGGAGGTTAACCTGCCAGCAGGACAACAACCTCAAACATGCAGCCAAGATTACATCGAAGCCCATCCCATGGTTCAGACTTAAATCAAACTCAAAGTCTGTGATAAATCACAAATTGCTTTTCCAAAACATATCATGTTATTAGAGTGTTGAGGCTATTTTTGCAAAGAAAATGGGAAAGAAGAATGTTCTCTAGATATGAAAAGCTGATAAAGACATAATCCTTGAGAACTGCAGCTGTAATATCCTTAACAAGTGGCTCTAAATGCCTGCTGAACTTTTCAGCTTTTTACTTGTAAAATAGTTTGAGAACCATGCATCATTTTCTGTTAACTTCACAACTCTCCACTGATTTTAGTTGGTCTATAACATAAGATACCAAATGCATCAAAGTGTGCAGTTGTGAGAAAATGTGGAACGTTTCAAAAGCGTTGACTACTTTTGCAAGGCACTGTGTCAGTAATTTCAGCTTCAGAGCTGCATATGCTCCTCGAATTTCCTCCATATGAGTTTTCAGGTAAAACGAGCTAAATTATGGTTTTGGGATCATTTTTAAATCACTGAACTATGAAGCAGCAGAGACCGTAACTTAGTGTTTAAATGTCAGAACTATCAACATACATTCCACTAAATCTGTCTGTGTGCCCTCACCTCTTCCAAAGTGTGTAGAAGGTTTACTCCGTATGTCTGTCAGTGATTGTGTGAATGAAAGATATTTTTAAAGAAAGCCAGAATGTACAGTATTTGTGTTTACATTGAACAGGGGGCAGTTGTGTCCATGCACATGTATACACTCTTCTTAGGTAGACAATGTTTTACCTTTTGTCTCTTTCTACAACCAGTTAAAAGCTGCAGCCATGCAGCAGGTTAATACCGGTTTTTGTCTTGTGTCTTCAGAAAACGAGCACCTGCCTACTATACGCACACCCATTTGTAAATATGTGCAAATTATACTGAATGTTAAATGCAACCCATGAAGCTTTACTGAAAGCTATGTTGAAATATTCAGTTTTATTTCTATTAATGAATAGCTTCTAATCTCTTCAACAGCACATCCCTTCATGCATCTTTAAATGTGGCCAAACAGCCTCGTCTTTCACTAAATCTTTTGTATGTTTATCCACCAAACCTTTGAGAGAAAGCCCCCCCCCACCAAAAAAACAAAAAGCAAACTTTGTGAGGACCCTTCGCTGTACATGAGATTAAAGTTCTGGTCTGGGGTCCAATAGGATGCTTGTCTTATACTGTCAGTGTGAATGGGATCCGTTTGGTTTGTATGAGGTTTGCACTATTGTTACTATAAATATGTACAGAGTGAGCATCAAATGTGATCAAAAGGGGATAAAAAAAGAAAAAAGTGAGATGCATCTTACACCATATTTTTAGACACTTTTTGGACTGGGACATTGGAAATATTCTACCGATGCTTGTAGATGGACTAAAATGAATGAAAATAAAAGACTAAAACATTAAACCACCACCATCACTGTCTTTTTTACAACTTGAAACATGGTTAACGTCCGTCCTAAGCTCTATGTCTATAAAAAAGGAAAATGGTAGTTAGTGCATGAGGATTTCACTTTTCAAGAGCTCAATTTAAGTTTTAATGAAAGTTCTGAGCTGTTTTAGGTTAGAAATGACAAGTTTCCATAGGAAATAATGTGACACTGCATAAAAGTAGTTTCTGTACCTAAACTAGGGACTGAGAATAACAACTGTCCTTACAATAGTCAACTTAAAAACATTGCTTCATGTAATAAAATGGAATTGAATGGATTTGGATATGTATGCATATAATATCTTCACTATCGACAAACATTTTCATCAAAAGTGTTTCATAATTTTGACCAAATGTTTTCATTAAAAGACAAATCTTTCAAAAATATGTGTTCACCAATCTACCCTCACCTGATTTTTTTTCTGCAGCGTTGCATCAAATAATAGAAAAACAACTTAACCTATATTACCTCGCTTTTAGAAGGTACCTGCAAAACTTTTTCAGGTGTTTCTTTCATGCTGGACATTGCAATGATTTGACCAGGAAGATCAGATAAATCTGTGAAATATTTTACAGCTGAGAATTCTGATAAAACCTACAAGAGGATTTTTAAAATTTAAATCTCATCCTTAGCTGTTTGGTACATTTGCAACACAATTTAATGTATTTTTCTGCCCTAAAGAGCTTTCTATTGCATTTAGGAATTTTTTGTTCTCAATGTTCCTAATATGTTGGTCTGCAGATTCAATGTGGTTCCATCCATTCTGACATGCTTTATCCAGAGTGGGGTCGCTAGGGGTGCTGGTCTCCAGCTGTCTACAGTCAAGAGGCAGGGTAAACCCTGAACAGATCGCTAGTCCATCACAGGGCAACACAGAGACAAACAGGATAAACAACCATTCACACACACCTAAGGAGCCGGTGTACCTGGAGAAAACCCACGCATGCTCAGGGAGAACATGCAAACCCCGGGCCGGGAATCGAATCCTTGTTGCTGCAAGGCAGCAGTGATACCCACTGCTCCACTGAGCAGCCCACAATGAGGTTCCTTTAAAGAGTAAATCTTTGATGCAGATCTCTTACTTATCAAGCCCTTCTCTTCTGGAAATAGTTCCAAGTTTTTTGCCCGCAAGGTTAATGGCCTGACCTTTTTTCATAAAGGTTGAGGTTTTAGTGATTTAGTCTGAGGCTTAGTTGAGGACATTCTGACCACTCTAGATCTCTAACAATTACATCACCATTTCTAAACTATAATTTTCTAATTAAGAGAAATTTAAAAGGACACTTTATCAGCTAACTATAGAATTTAGAAAAATGTTTAATCAAATCATGACTCTAAACTGAAAAATGTTTTGAATAACAAATGTCTTGGTACATCAAAACGCCAACGTTTTTGCTGGATCATGATTGTCTGATTAGGAAATTGTGTGAAATCATCTGGTTTTATGCTAAAATGGTTCACAAATGAATTACCACTGTATGATGTGCAATACCTCTTAAATATACTGGAGAAATGTACTTGTTACATCAGCTCAAATATATATGTGTAGATAGATAGATAGATAGATAGATAGATAGATAGATAGATAGATAGATAGATAGATAGATAGATAGATAGATAGATAGATAGATAGATAGATAGATAGATAGATAGATAGATAGATAGATAGATAGATAGATAGATAGATAGATAGATAGATAGATAGATAGATAGATAGATAGATAGATAGATAGATAGATAGATAGATAGATAGATAGATAGATAGATAGATAGATAGATAGATAGATAGATAGATAGATAGATAGATAGATAGATAGATAGATAGATAGATAGATAGATAGATAGATAGATAGATAGATAGATAGATAGATAGATAGATAGATAGATAGATAGATAGATAGATAGATAGATAGATAGATAGATAGATAGATAGATAGATAGATAGATAGATAGATAGATACAGGTGCTGGTCATAAAATTAGAATATCATGAAAAAGTAGATTGATTTCAGTAATTCCATTTAAAAAGTGAAACTTGTATATTATATTCATACATTACATACAAACTCATATATTTCAGATGTTTATTTTGTTTAATTTTGATGATTACAAATGACAACAAATGAAAATCTCAAATTCATCATATCAGAAAATTAGAATATTACTGAAGACCAATAAAAACAAAGGATTTATAGAAATGTTGGCCAACTGAAAAGTATGAACATGAAAAGTATGAGCATGTACAGCACTCAGTATTTAGTTGGGCCTCCTTTGGCCTGTATTACTGCAGCAATGCGGCGTGGCATGGAGTCGATCAGTCTGTGGCACTGCTCAGGTGTTATGATAGCCCAGGTTGCTCTAATAGTGGCTTTTAGCTCTTCTGAATTGTTGGGTCTGGTGTATTGCATCTTCTTCTTCACAATACCCCATAGATTTTCTATGGGGTTAAGGTCAGGAGAGTTTGCTGGCCAATTAAGAACAGGGATACCATGGTCCTTCAACCAGGTACTGGTAGCTTTGGCACTGTGTGCAGGTGCCAAGTCCTGTTGGAAAATGAAATCTGCATCTCCAAAAAGTTGGTCAGCTGCAGGAAGCATGAAGTGCTCTAAAACTTCCTGGTATGTGGCTGCGTTGACCCTGGACCTCAGAAAACACAATGGACCAACACCAGCAGATGACATGGCACCCCAAACCATCACTGACTGTGGAAACTTTACACTGGACTTCAAGCAACGTGGATGAAGTGCCTCTCTTCTTTTCCTCCAGACTCTGGGACCTTGATTTCCAAAGGAAATGCAAAATTTACTTTCATCAGAGAACATGACTTTGGACCACTCACCAGCAGTCCAGTCCTGTTTCTCTTTAGCCCAGGCAAGACGCTTCTGACGCTGTCTGTGGTTCAAGAGTGGCTTGACACAAGGAATGCGACAGCAGAAACCCATGTCTTTCATACGTCTGTGTGTGGTGGTTCTTGAAGCACTCACTCCAGCTGCAGTCCACTCTTTGTGAATCTCCCCCACATTTTTGAATGGGTTTTGTTTCACAATCCTCTCCAGGGTGCGGTTATCTCTCTTGCTTGTACACTTTTTTCGACCACATCTTTTCCTTCCCTTCGCCTCTCTATTAATGTGCTTGGACACTGAGCTCTGTGAACAGCCAGCCTCTTTAGCGATGACCTTTTGTGTCTTGCCCTCCTTGTGCAAGGTGTCGATGGTGGTCTTTTGGACAACTGTCAAGTCAGCAGTCTTCCCCATGATTGTGTAGCCTATAGAACTAGACTGAAAGACCATTTAAAGGCTTTTGCAGGTGGTTTGAGTTAATTAGCTGATTAGAGTGTGGCACCAGGGGCCATCAATTTTGAACCTTTTCACAATATTCTAATTTTCTGATATGATGAATTTGAGATTTTCATTTGTTGTCATTTGTAATCATCAAAATTAAACAAAATAAACATCTGAAATATATGAGTTTGTATGTAATGTATGAATATAATATACAAGTTTCACTTTTTAAATGGAATTACTGAAATCAATCTACTTTTTCATGATATTCTAATTTTATGACCAGCACCTGTAGATAGATAGATAGATAGATAGATAGATAGATAGATAGATAGATAGATAGATAGATAGATAGATAGATAGATAGATAGATAGATAGATAGATAGATAGATAGATAGATAGATAGATAGATAGATAGATAGATAGATAGATAGATAGACAACTTATGTATTTTTTTAAAGCAGGGTTATATAGATGGGTATTGATCTATATAACTATTGCACTGTATATCATATATTAAGAAGCAGATCCTTTCTGCTACATATGTTAAAAAATTTTGATGCTGTTGACATATAGACTAAAATTTTTTTCTCCTGCTTTTCCAAAACACTTACTGAGACCTAAATATTTGTAACCGATGATGCTTTTGTTAGCATGCCTTCCACATGAATTTAGTAAACACATAATTGTTTTTCAAGCTTAGAAATCAGCACTCAACTAGACCTAAATAAACTTAGCTTAGAGAAAATGAGAATAATCTTATTCAAGGTTTTAAGTGAAGTTTAACAACCACATAAAGTATGTAGGTACATCAGACAATTAGCACCCATTGAGTTACGGCTTTTCTATCCAGACATGAAACTGCAAAGCTATGCATGCTTTTATTTTATTGTTCTGGATAATTTTATGTTGTTAAAAAATAATAAATCAGTCACCTGCAGCTTAATCAAAATTCTGTTGTTAGAGCCCTGACCTTCACCAGGAAAGAGGATCACATTATACTATCATATAAAAACAAATTATATCAAATATGCAAAAATCAAATGTGAGTTATTGTACTCAGTTATTGTGTGGGTGGGACTGTTAGAAAGACAAAAACCAGAAGAGCATAAATTAAAATAACATTTTAATTACGAGCAACATCTCAGGAAAACCAAACTGCTGGAGTCCGACACATTGCTCAGCACGAGAAATGTTACAGGTCATCTTACTTATAAAACAGCACAAAGACATTCAGGTTTCTTTAAATAAAATAAGAAAAGAAAAACTACAGAAAAGTCTTAAACAATGAGCGAACAGGCTGATGGACTGTGTGCTCATTGATGATAAACTGTTTAAATAAGGCTGATAATGAACCGTTTCAACCAGGCTGTTGGCAGCAGAGACCGAGCATGTTAGTCTCTAATATTGATCAACATGACCGAATGGAAAAAAGCCCCCCAAAAGATCTGTTGTGTTGTTTTCTCCTAATAGAGCTGAGAATGTAGATGTCCGTTAGTTGAAATGTCTTTGGGATGCAGGCATGAGAAGTGGGATTGAGTCCGCCCCACCATTTGGAGATAAGGATGGACGTCAGTCGGCATCCTCACCAGTGTCCCACTTAGATTTGGGTTCCTGCCACCATTCAGCCAGAAATGACTCCTCATAGTCACCGATTCCTTCAAATTCAGCATCAGGTTGGTCAGAGTGAGAAGTTTCTGCTTCTTCTGGGCTCACAATGTCCTGAAATATAAAATAAAATGACAAGTTCAAGAAAATGGAAGGCAATTACTTTTTTGTCTCATTCTGTGTTGGAAAAAAACCCAACAATGCATTTTCCTTTGTGGTGCCCATAAATCTTTCATGACTTTCCTCTGTAATTCTCCATGTCCTGTCTAAAGCCCAGGCAGTTTGTTGAGAGCTGGGAGGAGCTGACCTAAGTTAAATGGATGTGGCTCAGACACCTCCCAGCCACATACCACACACTGCTGGCGGAAAGCACAACCCCCTCCCTTTCATCTTCACTTATTTATTTATTTTCCTTCTCCTGCATGTTAGACCACAGCTTGCATTTAACCAGCAAGTCCTTCCTCTGTTTGCAGGGTTAGAAATGTCATTCCCATCATGTCTGGTCCTGCAGACAGTTCAGGTCTTATCTTCTGAGGCATAAAGATGTCTGGCCTAAAAATTTGCTGCCGTCATTCAGCTAAACAACATATCAAGAAGTAAGCAAATCAGATCAACACAGTCCTTCAAAAAAAATCTAAGAAAAAAAATGTATGCATTAGAAAAATTCAAAATTGTTTAACTAAATAAAAATTTGCCTTAGGTTCCGACAATAACAGCATATAGGATTAAGCTTTTTAAGTCAGCTGGAGAATCCCTTAAACTAAATATGCCTTGACGTTGGTTGGAACTTTTTTCTCAGGGGCATTCAACAAGTAATGCCCCTGGCCCACTTCCAGATGTTTGATCGAGCTGAAATTTTGCATGTGAAGCATTTTAAATCTCTATAGAATAAATAGCAAATTAGAGCTCTGAACTAATTTCGGTTTCTGATTTACTGGTGTTCAAACTGATTCAAGTCTGTGTTTTTGCATTTGAAAGGAGGCACACAATGGGAGACTTTTGATCAAATGAAAGTAACTTATAGTGATAATGTCCCATAATATAACCTGTAAAACATTTTACAAGGTCATATAATGGGCATCATCACCATAAGTTACTTTAATTTAATCAAAAGTCTCCCGTGGTGTGAATCCTTTCCAATAGATAAACCGGATCACTGCTCGACACTCAACAGGCTCCATTTCTGACTTTAATCAATTCAAACACCAGTAAGTCAGAAACCACAAATAGTTCAGAGCTGTAATTTACTACTTAATCTATGGAGATTTAAATAACGTCACATGCAAAATTTCAGCTTGATCAAACATCTGGAAGTGGTTCAGGGGCATTACTTATTGAACGCCCCTCGTGCACACGTCACATGTGTCCACTGCAATACATTAACACTCTTGGTAAATAAATCAGGATGTAAATAGACTTTAATGTTGACGTATATATAAATCACTGCTTCTTGCTTATATCAAAGCATTATTTTCATTAGTTATCAATTTTTTAAAAACACTAAAGAAAATGTGCATGGGGGAACTTTATATTTTCTTATTTTAAACCGCTTAAAAGATAAAAAAAAAAAAAGATTTCATTTTTTATTTGATTTTTTTGTGTTTGTCCTATCAATCACCAGTAACAGCTTGTCTTTAAAAAACTGGACAGTGTCCTTCAATTATTTATTATTATTATTTGACTTTTTAAACCCGTATTCTATATCAAACTTTCTATGTTAAATCTCTCACACCAATGAGAGGTTTAATAGTTTTGTCTGCAAGCAGTGAATGAGAAACTAAATTGCTTTATTCAACTACTTAACTAAACATCCTATACTACAGATTTTAGGGTTACTGTGAGGATATCATCATTTTGCTACTAAAAAAGAGAAATCCAGAGGAAACTTACCTCATCATCTGTTTGTAGGTAGTTCAGTGCAAAATCAAGCATTTCTTTTTGTTTTATTGTCTGGTTGTAATACCTCTGGGCTTCCTGAAAAACAAAAAAAAAGATCAACATTAACGTTAGCTCAGTAAACAACCCAAGAGTTTTATAAGCCCAATTTTGGTTTGCCCTTTAAAAAAAAAACCCTGCTGCTACCAAAGGGCCACATTTACAGTTTTATAGCTGGTACTCTGAAGCTGCTGCCACATTTGCACCACGCAAAATGCAAAGAAAACAAGTTTTTCATGACTATATGAGTTTGTAATTACAGCCCAGTGATTGTGTTAACATTCGCGCCAGGGCTGCTTTTTATAACACAGTCTCCTTGCTTTGCCAGATCTGTTTTGACCGACACAGTCCTGCAGCAGCTGCAGGATGCAGATGGATTTGCAAAAGAAAAAGCGTGGCTTGTTTTACTCACAGGCCGAGGCTGGAAGTCCTCCTCCTGCAACCCCCACTGCTCCCGGTAGAATCGATAATAGGCCACGTTCTGCTGCATCACCTGGTCGCTGGGGTCAAAGAGCATGTAACTGGCCGCACAGGGAGCAGCGTTCTTTACATCATTCACTGGGAAACATGAGAAAATCACAATTTTAAGCACTATGGTAATTTAAAAATTTAAATAGAATAAATTTTTTTCCTTACATTTATAATATGAAAACTGGAGGTAGTGATACATGGTAGCAACAAACTTCTCAACGAAGAACCCTCCGACGTTGGGCATCAGCTGCTCCTCACATTTCACTTTACATTTCAGCACATCAAGGAACAGATCTGAGGGCAGAGGAAGTAAATGTTGATATGCATCTCTGACATTCTGAAATCAAGCTGCTGTGTTTTCTCTTTTACCTGCAAGTGTTGGGAAGAAGTCTTTATACTCCAAGATTTCATATGAGCCTTCGCAGGCTGCTGAGCAGAGGCTGTACACCTCAAAATACTCTGTGATTGCCTGCTCCATGTTTCTGGCACTGCTGCTGAAATCCCCACTGTTATAGAGTGTCACGCTCTTTAAGAAAACACTCTGGGATCAAAGACATTTTGTTAATGATATTTTTTAACAAGCACATGTCAGGCTGTTTTTTTTTTGAGCTACTGACCTCATATGGTTGCTCTTCATGGTCGATGAGATACTCCTCCACATCAAACAGGGTCTTGTAGTAGTTCATGTTTTTGGTCAAATAGGGCTCATCTGGGTTTTTCTTCAGGAAGGTGTGAGTTGCTGACACAGCCTTCTCCAAGTTGTTAAGCTGAGGAGGAACACAGGGCTTAATCACAGTCTCCACAAAGGCAATACCTTTATTTAAAAAAAAAAAAGAAAGATTTTCTGTGGCCCTTATTTTCTAGCAAAAAGCTAATTGGTGCTTAAGTAAAAATACGCAAATCCCTTTCTTCTTCCATTTGATTTCAAACTACCACGTTTTGAATTAATCTGCAGCTCTTTTTTTTAAAGATTAGAGTGTGGTACTGTATATTTAATTGCAATGATAACAGAATGTTTCACATGACTTTTACTACAGTACAGCTGCTGCCTGTGTCCTCACTAAGACTAAGAAAGTAGAGCACATCACCCCAGTTCTAAGGTCCTTACACTGGCTCCCTGTATCTCAGAGAATAGAATTTAAAATACTTCTGTTAGTCTATAAATCTCTGAATGGCTTAGCACCTAAATACAACACAGACTTGCTATCAGTGTATCAACCCTCCAGACCACTCAGGTCTTCTGGCTCCAGCCTGCTCTGCATACCTAGAACCAAAACTAAACATGGAGAAGCAGCATTTAGTTCCTATGCTCCACATATGTGGAACAAACTTCCAGAAAACTGTAAAAGTGCGGAAAGCCTTTTTTTATGGTTTTTTTTTTTGTTTCTGCATTTTTTTTTCCCTACTTGCCTTGATTCTGTTTTATTTTCCTATATTTTAATCATGTAAAGCACTTCAATTAAATTTTCAATGGACATTTGGAATTGAAAAAGCCGTTTTGGGAACAGGGAATAGGAAAACTGATCTCAAAGAAAACCAACAGCTGACAGTGCTCACCAGAATCCTCATTGTTGAAGCTATATTTATTTTTAGATTTCGGAATTTGAGGTTCTTGTTTTGTTTTGTCCCTCTTTTGAGTTTAGGAGCCATGGGAACGTTGGCTCACTTTACCTGCTTTTTTTGCAGGTAACTTTAATCATCAAAAAAAAAAAAAAAAAAAAAAGGATCTTCCCAGAACCAAGCGAAGAAAAAAAAAGGCAGGAACTTCTAAACCAGAGTTTTCATTGTGTTCTTGCAGATTATGTGGAAGTCATAAGAGTCAGGCTGTATATCTGAATACCCAGGACCTGCCAAAAAAAATGCTTTGTTAATAAGGCTATTCTTATGGTGCTGTTTAAAATCCAAAAGGTTTGAATGTAAATGCAATGCTTCAGTCAATAAAATGAATATGGTACATTTGAATTTAGAAGCTTTCTCATCATCACCATTGTTTATTTATAAAGCACTTTAAAATCCATTCAGGATTATTGTTTCAAGATGATCAGTAAAGTTGAACTAGATTCATCTAATGGCCATTAAGGGAACATATTTAGGATTAAAAGGGCAGTGGATTAAAATCGTCCTAGGCTGTGTTGATGTCAGTCAGCTGCAGGTGGAGCACCTAATCTGAGTCTGATTGATTTATTCACCTTCTATTTGATCAGTTCAACCATAGAAGTATGGTATGGAGCTGAGACATGAACTCCAAAACATCTATCTGAACTGAATCTGTCTGGATCAGTGTGGAAGTCATTAATAAGCTTTTCTATTGGTCTCTAAGCGTTGTTAGCATTAAAAGCTATTTGATTATTGAAACTCACAAGAATGCATTAACAAACATATATTTTCCTTTACTAAGTGCTTCACTCGTTAAAATGGATACAAGGTGTGAAAGAAAATATGTAATTTGTAATATTTAATTTGTAATATGTAATTTGCATGTAGTTTAGATGCCAAACAATCAAATTTTTGTTTTCTCTGTGAGTTGGAATGCAAACTTCAGGGGAGTTTATTTTTATTTTTCCAACTTTTTAAATTAGGGTATCCATCTTCCCAGTACAATAACAATGAACAATTAGGACACAAAAACCTATTTGCTATTGAGCATCTTAGAATATCTTAGTATATTTACACTCTTGATCAGGTATATCAGTGTTTTAAATCTTGTTTCTTAATTCTTGGTTTCTTTGTTAATTAATTGTACGTATTCCTTCGATTAGAGGTGAAATATTGTTTTTTGTGTATATCTGTGTCTTTTGTCCATTTAAGTTCATCCGCTGTAATGCAAATATTTGTTGATAAATAACATGCTCAATCATACATTGCATATGTGGTAGCCCCTCAAAGAAATAATCTATTGTTATTTTCTTTATGTTTTATTTCTCTATGTTAAGGCAAAGATAATCCCTGAGATTTGATGACTATACATGATTGGTTTTTAAACATCAATGTTGCATAACATTACTTTTAAAAACTGACTTATTAATAGTAGTAGTTTTTTATGGTAAATTATATGTAGGCTAAATGTGTAAAAGCTCTATTAGAGTACAATATTTCTAAACATTTGAAGATTTGAAGAAAAAACTGATTAGGAGCTCTTTAGACGATTATAAGAAACAAAATATAAAGGAGGAGGTTTGGCATTATTAAGGACAGACTAATATATTTCCCATAATTCTGAGTGACTGAGAGAAAAATGGGGGGATTGTTTTCAGGTGACCCCGGGAAGAGACGTGGCACATGCTCAGTTTGATCTGCAGGAGGGCGCAACAAAGCAACTGTTCTCCGTATTTCTGACAGAGGGGAGTCCAGCTGAGTGCGCACCTCCTTTATTTAGATCAAAGCCACAAACACATGCAGATGGAACCATATTTAAAGCTTTTAATCTGCAACATGTGGACTATATCTGGAAATATGGTAAAATGATAAAAGAAATAAAACATCCCTGTAAATCATGCATAGAATCAGCATCCAGGTTATATTGACCCAAATCAAAACTCTCAGTTCTCACCTGATAATAAGCATACTGAATGTACCGATACGGTATTCTTTTCTCAAAAGTTTCCAATAAATCCCTCCGCGGATATGAAAAGTTAAAAATGGGGAAATCTGCCTTGCACTTTTTCAGGCAGGCAGCCCTCAGCAGGATGTGGCGCACAACGCGGAGGCTGCTGTCGGGGCGCAGGGAGTCTCCGTCCCGGCTGGCGCTGCTGCAGTTGCGGGCGCAGAACGCCTCGCTGTCCCGCAGCAGCCGGTGGAGCCGCAGGCTGAGCTCCAGGTACCGGAGGCTCTCTGCCCAGCTCTGCGCCCCGTACTGCTCCAGCGCGTAATTGTACGCGGACTCCAGCGGCATGATGTCCTTCTGGGGAAAACTTTTGAAGCTGTACTTCTCATACTGAGCCTCCACCGAGGAGAGCAGAAGGAGAGACAGACACAAGCTTCTGAGGAGCATCATCCCCATTCCCCGGCTCCAGCGGGAGTCCTCTCTGGCTTTCAATGGATCCAGCAGACTTCCCTTTTCGTCTTTTAACAGGGTTAGATCATGTCTACCCGCACGTAGGCTGTAAAATCCCAAAATCCCTGTTGAAATAAGAGACTAAAATCATGTATCTTTGGGAAAAGACTTTCAAAATAAAAGCTTTCCAAACAGTGCATATATTTAAAAAAATATATTTTCCCCTAAAGTCAACCTTAGAATTTCTATTTTGCTTAAAGCGTTAAAATAAAAAACATTTCCAATAAAAGTTTATAACTTATGTAACGAAAGGATGGGGATATTAGCTCCTTAGGTAATAACCGCTTTAACTCTTGGGAAAATACTTTTAAAGTGAAACTTCCTGCTTTCTGTAGAAATGGGCATTTTTATCTCTGACTTGACTGCAAGCAACACTTTGGACCGCAAGGAAAAATGGACTAAAACTTTCTGAAGTTTGGTCTGTCACGTCATAATCACTTTCAAAAACACCCTGTCAATCCCAAAGTTATAAGCTGTGCATTTAAAAAAAAAATTTTCTACAATTTATATCTCACATTGCATTTATAAAAATACATTAAAACATAACTTTTACATTTCTTTCAAATTTTAAAATGTTTTTTGTACTTTTTTTAACTTTCAAGTAAAGTAAACTAAACTCCATTGTGATTTATAGTAAGACAATCTGTGCAGTTCAAACTATAAACATTTCGGATTTAAACTAGTACAACATATTATTGTCTGTATCTTATTTTGCACCTTATGTGACTAAATTGAGACACACAAAAAAAGAAAAGAAATAAAATCAAATGAACTAAGCCTTGATAAAATAAAGTTACTTTGGTTTAAGCCAACTAAAATAGTGGAAACTTGGGGTTTCCTTAGTGAAGACATGGGGGAGGGCCCTCTCAGCCAGCCTTTACACGTTTGCAGAATTCCATTAAAAGGTAGGTGGGGGCCCGGGGCCACTCCGCCCCGCTGCTACTGCGCCTCTCTGCGGTGCGTCAAGTTTGACAAAAAGAGACGAATTAAAGCCGGAAAGAAGAACTGATTCCCATCTAAATAAAAGTAAAAGGTAAAAAATATTCATATTATCCAAGTGGATAAAATTTACTGAACTATTTTAGAAAAAATAAAAACATTTATTTTATTTATTTTGATTATAGCTATTTAAATTTGCTTATTTCTTAAAAATATGCTATTTGAAATTATAGTGGAAACGTGCTGAAGATGAAGAAAATAAGATGAATGGGAAGGAAAGGCCATATGGGGGATTTTGAACATGGTCTGGTTTTTCACAACAAACATGATAATATGTGTATTCCAGACTGTGAAAAAATGGGATTTTGACACAGTAACCGCATCTTCTCGGAGGAAAATTGTCACAAAAAAAAGGAAAAAGAATTGAGGGAGCGTCAGCTAATTGATGAAAAAGCATGGTTAATGTCAGGATAAAATTGGCAAACTGGTTGGAAGTGACACAAATGTTGCACGGTTTAAGGAGCCTAAATTTCCACAGCAACTTCCAGATGAAAAAGTATAAATGCAGCATAAGCAAGAACACTGAAAGCCTAAATCCACCCTGATTTATAATTATAGGTCAGGATGCTTCTGGTTTTGTTATATTGATATTTTGTTGACATAATCTGAGCCTCTGCTGAGTTTATCCACCCCCTCAGTGTAACGTTGCCGTTCTCTGTCTGCTCTATGCATCCAGATAATGCACAAAGCTCAAATCATTTCAAACTGGTTTCTCATGATAAGTCTATTGTTCTTTAATAGTCTCCAGAGTCATCAGATCTCACCCAAACAGGTCAGCCTTAGTATATGGGGGAGCAGGAGATTTACACTGTGTCTTTGATTAATTATCATGTTAGAGCTATTCATAGGATTACACAGCTGCAAAAAAAAAATAAATAAATAAAAAATCTGCAGCAGAAATTTAAATCAAAAAATATTTTTTCTACATACATACTAATCAAATGTAAAGTAAAGACATGTTTATTAGTAAATGCATTTTAAAATTTAAACCCATATCCTTAGTATTGTTTTGAAACTCTTAAGCGGAAGTTTGTTCCTTCTTCCATCTAACTTTCCAGTCCAACGGGACTCTCTATCCAATGCTTCTCTCCTTTTCTCCTCCTCTTCATGAATCTCTGTCAGACTCAGATTATCTTCTCTCTGCTCCGTTTATTCTGCACCCGAGTCTTTTAAAATGGATTTAAAAACAAGCTTTGGACTTTTGCTTTTTGCTCTCGCAGTGCAGTGCAACCCCAGCCCGCTGGCGGACATCGTTGTGGATCGGTACCTCTTACCGCAGATCTGCCCTAGAGAAGTTCAAGTAGAAGATTTTATCCGTTATCACTTCAACGGGACCTTCTATGACAGCGGCAAAAAGTTTGACTCCAGGTGATCTTACAGGCGATGCATTTACTATAAGGAGATTTTTAAATGTGGAAAAATGCGCAGCAGAAACAACAAAATGTAAAAAGTTGATCTCATCATTTTAAGACGCGATGGCAGCTTGCAGACGTGTCATCTTTACCATTATGATTATCACAATTAGATCCATCCCCATGGGCGGTTCTAGACGGGGGGTAACGGGGGGCCAGTGCCCCTGCAGTTCATGTCCTGGCCCCTGTAATGAAGGCATAATACTCAAAGAAATTCTAATGGTGATATGCACTGAAACAGACAGTGGTGTCCAAAGTAAACACATTTATTACTTAAGTAGAAGTATAAATACTGCAGTTTAAAAACACTCTGGTAAAAGTTGAAGTATCAGCTTGACCTCTTTACTCAAGTAAAAGTAAAAAAGTATGTTTTCCAAAAACTACTTAAAGTATAAAAGTATAAAGTAACCTTTAGAAAAACAGCCAGATGCCACTATATGAATTGAAAGCTCAATTTTTTGACTATTTCTAAAAATTCTTTGAGATAGGGTCAAGGATATGAGGTTCCGTTTGTATCAAAAATAAGCCGATGTAAAATGTCTAGATGTTATGCTGTTGTTGCAGATCTGTTGTCTGCATATATATACGTTGCACATTTATTTCTTGCATATGTAGATGTTGCATGTCTATGTTGTATATGTAGATGTTGCATATGTCTAGGTTGCATATGCAGATGTTGCCTCACTGTAATCTTGCCAGTCTGCATGTCTGAAACATCCGTGTTCGGTAAGTGCCTTTGCTCTCAGCTGTTGGTCCATGTCGTTGCTTCTTGTTGTTGGTCTTGTCGTATTATCCCATCGCTATTTAAACCTACGCCCCCTCCTTCCTCCTTTGCTGTCCTGATTAATGCCGGAAGTAAATACGAGATTTGCCGAAATCTAAACATTTTGGAGCTATTGATAAAGACAACCTTTCAGTAATTTCTAATAAACACAAAATAATCTACTTCCATTGTTTGTAATGGCGAGGGGAACAGGCATCAAAGACCAACCATATGGACCAACGACATGGACCAACAGCTGAGAGCAAAGGCATTAACCAATGCATTATCTACATATGCAACATAGACATATGCAACATAGACATATACAGCATCTAATCTACATTTGCAACAAATACAAGTGCAACTTATACATACGCAGACAATACATATACAACAACGACACAACATCTAGACATTTTACATCTGCTTATTTTTAAAACAAACTGAACCCCAAACAAGGATGAGGGAGGTCTTGTTGGTCTCCATCTCCATCTCCATCTCCCGATACGCTCTCGCCTGTGTCCGACCTTTCAGACATTTCAACATCTTTTTCTGAATCCAACATTGTAGCATGGCATAGACAATTCACGTTTGCAGTTTGAAGAACACCTGCTTGCTTCTGATGATTTTCTTTAGCTAACCAATGAGTGTTTGCGTTATATGACTCATCAAATTACACTAGTTTTCACTAGATGTGGATGGAGCCAATGATCTGCATTGCGTGGCGCACATGACATGAAATAAATATTTATAAACATTAAACCGAAGCCAAGTTTAACGAGTAACGTTTGTCTTAAAAATGTAAGGAATAGAAAGTACAGATACGTGTTTGAAAAAGTAATGAGTAAAAGTCAGAAGTAGGAAGAAAAATAAGTAATGGAGTAAAGTCTAGATACCTAAAAAGTGTACTTAAGTACAGTAACGAAGTATTTTTACTTCGTTACTTGACACTTCTGGGAACAGATATAGTTACTGATAGGTCCTTTTGATCTATTTCATATGTTTTCTTTACAAATTCATTTTTTTCTAATTATTTAAAAGCAACAAGGTGATAGCTTCACTGGTATTGGGATAGGATTCCAGTTTTCATCTGCTTTTTTTTTTTGCTCTAATTTTTACAGCTGAATGTATCCGTTTTTCTTGAGTTCTAATTCAGATTTTATAGAAAACTGTCATTTTACCTTAAATTATGTCAAAAATATGTTAAATTCCTAAATTATGAATGTATATTGACCTAAAAAGGCATAGAATTATAATTAAAGCTAATTGAATAGAAGTTTCACTTCATGCAGCTATCTTAATATATTTGAATCCCTCGCCCTGTTTTTTATTTCATGCTTTTCTGTGCCCCAATGAAAACACGCCGGCCCCCATCTGGCTCCCTAGTACATTTGGTCTAGAACCGCCACTGTCCATCCCATCTAATCCATGTTGGAATTGTGTACACTCATCATTATGAGTATTTGAACCATTTTTTTCCAGGGTTCAGAAGAATACACATTTTTAAACGATTTATAAAAAATTGTAATTTATTGAGAGCTTTTACTAACATGCAAGTTCAAAGTCTCATGCCGTATTTATTATGTAAATAAAGACCTGCATAATATTTGGGTATGCAAAAGATTGGCATCCTGGGAATTCCAGAAGCATAATGCTGTCTTTCTTTCTTTCAAATCCAGTTTTGATGCGTTACTAGAATCATTGTTCTCTGGGAGCGACCAGTTTTGCTCAAGTTTTATTCCGTTAACAAATGTCTAAGATAAAGATGGAGAGTGTTCTTAATGCAGCAATATCTGACGTTGCTAAACACCTTTCCTGCCATTATACCACCACCATGCTTCCACACTAACCTGTTGTCACTGATCCAGAATGGTTGAATCTTTGTCTTTTCTCCTCAGGTAAAGGAAATTGTTGTCAGTCTTAAAACACGGTTGTGCATCTTGGACACCATGGAGATTTAAAACTGACCTTTGTTTTCATTCTAGCTGAATAATTTGCCGGTTTTTTGGCATGGGTCATAACTTTAGGTCACTGTAGGTCATGGTCACAGGGATCTGCCATTTTAGAAGCCTGATTCTAAATAGTGATAAGGACAATTTCTCTTCTGGTAAAGCTTATTTGGTCCCAGTTTCACCCAGCTGTCAATTATAAATCTAAGAATTCAGTTGGCGTTCGATCTTAATTGTTCCAGAGGTGATGCAAGGGAGAAGTACTACTAAAAAAAGCCATCAGGATGCTACCTCCAACATGCTTGGTAGATGGGGCAGTACAAAAAACAGACCTCTCACTTGTTATTTTCACTAAATTGCTCAATCTATGTTTATAACAAAAGAGAGAAATAAAAACTTTATACAGATAGGATTCAGTTTGTCTGAGGAGGTGGGTTTAAATTTAAGATTAGCTTAAAAGCTGATAATTTTTGATCAATTCTGTCACTTTTCCATCCATTGTAATGTTAAACTTTTTTTTTTTTTTTTTTACTGTGCAGCTATGACCGAGGCAAAGCCTTCGTCAGTCAGGTGGGCCTCGGTAAACTCATCACAGGGATGGACCGAGGTCTGCAGGGCATGTGCGTCAACGAGCGCAGGAGGATCACAGTCCCTCCTCACCTGGCCTATGGAAGCGTCGGCACAGGTGTGGCTCACCACCACTACGCTGAACTATTAGTTTTATGTAATAGATTATCTGTTGTGGTTTAACCCTATGTGTGCTGCTGATACCGCAGGTGGTTTGATCCCTCCTGACGCCACACTGGTATATGATATTCTCCTGCTGGACATATGGAACGCTGAAGACAAGGTCCAGATTCGCACGATCAGCAAACCTGAGAACTGCAGGCGAACCACTGTGGCGTCAGATTTTATCCGGTACCACTATAATGGCACACTGTTGTCTGGGGAGGCCTTTGATTCCAGGTGAACCAACCACTTCTGTCTGTTGAACAAAACAAAATAAAATGTGTATTTGTTAAAAAAGAAACAACAAATTTGACCAGATTTTCTCTTTCCTTCTGTAGTTACTCAAGAAATACAACTTATGACACATACTTGGGGCAGGGTGACCTCATCAAAGGGATGGACGACGGTCTTCTTGGCATGTGTATTGGGGAGAGGCGGCTCATTATTGTTCCACCATTTTTAGCTTATGGAGAGACCGGCCATGGTAAATGTACAAATATGAGATGGTTACGTTCTTGCATTTATTATTTAACTTTCATTCTCAGTGAGTTGTTACTGCTAACTCAAGCCGTATATGTTCCCCCACCCCTAGGAGCCAAGATCCCCCCCCAGGCAACACTCGTATTCGAAGTTCTGTTAGTTGATGTATTTAATCCTAAAGATGATGTGACTTCAAAGGTAATAGAGAAGCCTAAAAACTGCACACGCAGGACAGTTACTGGGGACTATATCCGCTACCACTACAATGGCACCTTCCAGGACGGCACGTTCTTTGACTCGAGGTAAGCTCCTGCAACTCTTCTTGTTTTCTATGGTGGCTGAGGGGTGCAAATACTGTGCAAATACGTGAGTTTACAACTTATTCAAGAATTATCATGAACACAAAAATTGAGACTAACACAAAGCATATGCAAAGCTGAGAGGAAAATGCACACTGCATTAGGCAAAAAAACTCATATAGCCTTTTCCGACTGGCTAAAAAACTTGTTTAAACCCCGGAACAACAGGCTTTCAGTGGCAGTGGGAACAAAGCACTGACCTGTGTCTAACCGGGTTAAACGACTTGGCAAGCGACCTGCGTTACAATCACCTTGGCTCTGATCTGCATGCTGTGGAAACAGCAGACGCAGGTTGATCCGTTAAAGTACGTGACATTATTGAACACAATGTATGGTATCAACATCAGGGTTTATACAGGAATGAGTAACTCTTATTTAATGCTTTTTTATGCTCTTAGAAATAATTGTAATGCCATCAACAAGTACTCATGACTCACATATAAACATGGCAAAATCTTTTATCCTCTTTACCGTCGACAGGGTGCAGCCATGTCGAATTCCTCGTTTTCTAGCCACCTTTGTTGTCTCTAGTTTTGTCTGCGCCTCACGCTTCTTCTATGAACAAACAGCTTTACGATAAACGGGAACCAGTTCCGTGAAAATATATTGCGATATAATGTATCTGAAGAAATTGTTTTTATAAGCGTTTTTGTTTTTTAAATAAAGCATTTAAAATACCACAATTTCAATGCCAATGAAAGACCTTAATTTAAAAAATAATAATTTAAGGACTTTTAATGATTTTTAATGACCCACGGAAACCATGAACACACCGCATCAGTTGCGTCTGATCTAAAAAGCTGAAAAAACTCTGCTTACATTCATTGAAAATGGAACAGCGCTGGTAAGAGGGATTCAGACAGATAAAAGACCGAAACAATCACAGACTACACCCTGGCTTCTTTACATGTTGCTCTCCATTGTTTACTTCCGCACTGGTGACATCATCAAAGCTAACCTAGCGGGATGGTGTAACCAGACATGCAGTGGAGGGGGGCATAGGCCAAGCAGCCTGCCAGCGAGGGGTTAGACCCAGCTTTTGTTTGCCGTTGGGAAGGGAGCCAAATGCAGATTGTTAGCGGGTCGACCCATGTTTGAAAAACATGTTAACCCGCTAATTTCAGTCGGAAAGAGGCTAAAGTTATGGAATGCTGCAGTCCATCTATGCATGGCGGAGGTACTGCAGACCACAAAAGGGGAGATGATCATCATAACATATGTTTCCAGACCATAAACATTACAGCAAATTAATTTCTTTTGAGCAGATGTTGCAAAAATCCCGTCTATGCTTTTTTCTAAGGATCTTCTCCAAAATGAATTGTTGATTGTCTCCCCCTAGTGGTCTGGAGCGCTTTCACTATGCAGCATTATGCAGTTTGTGACTTTTCTTAACTTGCAGTTGTTTTTACTAGGGGGAGCATTTTCCCTTTTCATGTTTTAGCAGTAGGTTTTTTGTTTGTTGGCAATCTACATCACTATCTCCTTGACACTGTTTATCCTTGGCATATGTATTGTATGCTTGCCCCACTTTTGTGTTTGCAGTACTTTTTGAATTTCCTGTGAAATTTCCTGTGAATATCTCTATATATTTTCACACCTTAGCAACAGTAGCTTCCAGAAAGCATATGAAGCATCTTCTGTTTGAGCTCTCATTTTTCCCACTTCCTCTAACAGCTACCAGCGAAACAGCACCTACAACACATACATCGGAATGGGATATGTGATCCACGGCATGGACAAAGCTCTGCAGGGTCTGTGCATTGGTGAGAAAAGGAGAATCACAATTCCTCCTCACATGGCATATGGCGAAAAAGGAGCTGGTGAGTTCGACGCTCACATTTAAGAGCTTTTAAACTAAACTGAGGAGGAATACAAACTAATTCTGTTTAATTATTATTTTTTTTTACTCTTTGGTTGTAGAAAACTTCATTCCTGGCTCTGCTGTGCTGATCTTTGACGTCCACGTGATTGACTTTCACAACCCCAAAGATTCAGTGGAGATCAGAGTCACCCATAAGCCTGAGGAATGTAATATGACCAGCGAAACCAATGACTTGATTCATTATCGCTACAACTGCTCCCTAATGGATGGCACACTTCTATACTCCTCGTGAGCGACCCCTGCTGTTCACTCTGCAACACTGCACCCTCGTGCATGTAATCATTGCTGGCTACTTGTCTGACAGATTTTACAGGGTTTTGGAGTAGACATAACCATTTATATATCTGAATGCACATATGGCTGCATGGCTTTGGGTTTTTGTTTTGGTATTAAGTGTTTTTTTTTTCTGATCGGTATCCTAAACATGTTCTTTTAAATGCTGAAATTGTATATTTGTGGGGTTTTTTAGGGACCAGTATGACTCACCTTCAGTCACAACTCTGGGAGCTGGGAAAGTGATCATGGGTCTGGAGGAAGGATTAAAGGGCATGTGTGTGGGTGAGAGGAGAGAAGTGGTGATCCCTCCACACTGGGGTCATGGTGAAGATGGAGGTAAGATCTTTTTTTATTATTCTTTTGTTTATATTTGTCTATATGTATCTGACATATGGGGGGGGGGGGGATATGATAAAGTAAAATGATACGACTGGCATAAAATCAAATACAAACAGCATAAAAATAAAACAACAAGCCGGTCCCTTCGAGGCGTAATCGGAGAAAATGACAGACGAAGTGTGCTCCTGATGTTGAGTCTGCTCCATAGCTTTGTTTTAGTCGCTGTAACCGCAGAGAATCCCGCCTCACAAAGATAGGATGTTATATATAGGATGAGTCTTGAACTGAATTAACCTGTGTCAATAGGCACAGATGAACCGACTGATGTAATTGGGAGAGAATACCACCATTTTTTATATTTTTCAAAATAAAACATCACTCAGACTCTGATCATCGATAAATTATATATATATATACACATACCTTTTTTCTGTGCGGCCCGGTACCAAACGACCCGCGGACCGGTGGTTGGGGACTGCTGCTCTAAAACACCAAGCCTTCACAGATAAACTGGATTTATTTCCCTAGATTAAACCACAGACAGGCATATTCCACTTTCTAATCCTCTAATCTGTTGGATTTAATTAATGAGTATCAGAGTAAAGGGGCTTCAGCTACTCTTTTTTCTATTGTACTTTAAATTAAGTCCGTTTACATCCACATAAATTCCCAATTAGGCTTGTCCCGATCCGATCCACGTATCGGACGCCGATATTGGCAAAAAAATGCATATCGGCAAAGCATGTAAAAATGCCGATCCAGACTGCCGATCCAGTTTTTAAAAAAAATTCGGTCCGTATTTTCCAGTTTCGCAAATTGAAACAATCCATTCCACTATTTTGCGCCAGTGTTCCCCGAAGCCGGTCCGTATTTTCCAGAACACCTTCAACACACCCACAGGTCTTTTCGGGTCTGTCTCCCGGCCTAACCATTAAAACAGCTGAATTGGAAGATAGCGGGGAAAATGGCAGCCGTGTGGGATTATTTTATCCTGCACGATGTGTAGATGGAGATTAGGTGTGGAGGACATTGGGGAGTGTAAGGCATTTTTGTGTAACTATTATTTGCACTGATTTTTTTTTAAGCAGTGTCTTTTTTCAAGAGTAGAGTCCTGATTCTAAGTTAATAGACTATTTTCCACTCTTGTCTGTTTTGCATTTTTATTAAAACTTACAGTATTATAGCACCTTTAACTGTTTACGGTTTTAGTGTTCACTGTGCAATATTAGATTGCTATTCATAATTTTGTCCAGTTTGTGTTTATCTCTTAATAAACAGGTAAGTTTGTTGTTACTAATCATTGTGTTTTATTCAATCTCACCTAATTCAGCTGGCTAGATGTTATCAAGAGTACTAAAACCCTTTTCAACATGAGTCTTACAACTAAGGCTGAATACTTTAACTTAAACTTAAATACATGCTCGGATAGGCTGGTATCAGCCAGTTTCTGTATCGGATCGGAAGTCCAAAAACAATATCGGTATCGGATCGGAAGTGCAAAAACCTGGATCGGGACATCTCTATTCCCAATGAAATAGATTGAAGTTAACAGCTTTTAAATGATCGTCTTAAAAGGTTTCGGGGTTATGACTCCTGTTTCATCTCCCCTGATTGGATGTTTTTAGCTGTTGGAGTTCCTGGAAGTGCAGTCCTGCTTTTCGAACTGGAGCTAGTGCAGCTGCAGAAAGGTGTACCAGAAGGCTTCATGTTTGTCTGGCTTGGCGACACGCCTGATCCCCTGTTCAACGCTCTGGACCTCAATGGAGACAAAGAGGTCCCTCTAGAGGAGGTAAGCAGTAAAGCTTGGTCGGTTGGTACAACTAATAGTCAAGTTTTTGAAGTAATCTCTTAATAAAAATTACGATGCTCTTCTTCCCCACCTGCAGTTTTCGGAGTTCATCAAACTGCAAGTCAAAGAGGGCAAAGGTCGACTTCGGCCGGGCGTCGACATCGACACTGTTATAAAAGACATGTTTTATAACCAGGACCAGAATAAGGATGGGAAAATTGTAGAAGATGAGCTGAAAATTAAGGATGAGTCTGAAAAACTGAGACGAGATGAGCTATGAACAGCAGAGGAGACACAAACTGTGATGATGATGTGCTCTCAAAACTATTGAGCAAGAACCTTCCCAAAAATTAAAAAGGACATTTTGCTGCTCATATTGAAATAATCTTTTTTTTTTTTCCATCGAGGTTTTTTTCTTATGCAAATGCAAGGAAATGGATTATGTGTTGGGGGTTTTTTTTGCGGGAATTTTCTGGTTAATTCTAAGATGGAACTTCTCAAAGCTTTGGAAACAGACCCCCCATCTTAAGGTTTTACATCGATTCATGTAAAGTTAATTATCTGCGTCTGATTTTACTTTTAATGTTATGTTAAGTTGTACTGATCTATTGTGATTTTGGTGGATCCATTTTGTGTATGAAAAAAATTAACTTTTATAACAAAATGTGATTAAATCTTTTCAGACTGATTGAGGTCTGACAGATGTGGGTTTATTAAGATGAAACCATGTTTAATATCAGGAAAGTTACAAAACAAATCTTGATGGTTCAAAGAGAAAAGATGCTTACAAAGCTTAGATAATGACAGAGAACCCTCTAGAAACTTCTGCTGCATTTTACTCTACATTTAAACATTTTTACAATGATTAGCAATCCGATGATACAGCTGGAACAGAACCGAACAAAATAATATTTTTCTTTATTTAAACAAACTCACAGAGGAAATAGCTGAAACATCTTTGATTCCCGATTAAAATTTTGGGAGGAGCTTCACTGTGCATAAAATAGTTAGAAATCTTGTCAAAATAAGGTGCTGCCTTTTTATATTGTGCGTTTTATTTTTTAAATATTTTATCCTGTATCAAAACTAGAAATGTTTAAAGAAGTCTCAGGGAAAAAAAACACCAATAAATCCACAAAAACACGTATTAGGCTGCAACAAGATCCAAAGAGGTCACTGTAGACAATAGGTTTGATGGAGATGTGACAATAATGAGGACTGAAAACAAGTGGAAACCCATTTGCTTCCAATACAGACTGACTCAGGTGAACTTAGTTATTTTGGACAGTAAAATACAATCATATGCAGTGCCTTGCAAAATTTATTTTTTATCCCTTTTGTTTCTCTTTATGGAATAGAGGCTAAAAACGCGATAAGAATCCATGTAATCAGTGGCAGAAAGCAAATATGCGAAGCAAGATTCTTTAGTCGAATGAGACCAAACGTGAAAAACAATGAAAACAACATGATGGGAAATCTAACATAATCTAAACACACCATCCTCATGAAGAAGCATAACGATGGCAGCATTATCCTGAGGAGGTGCCGTTGTGGGTAAAGGGAAACTGCAGGAAGGTCCCAGAAAAAAAATGAATTATAGGCTGCAGGGAACTGGAGAGTAGACATAAAATCAGAGCTAGAATGGATCGGCTTACATCAAGGCATAAGCAGAGGTCAAAATGGCCCAGTTGAACCTGGTTCCAGCTCAGATGCTGTTGTAAGATTTGAAAGTTAATGTCAATATAAGACTATGCTACAGAAGTGGTTCAAATTCCTGTCTCTAATTATGCATAGATGGGAGCATTAAACATCGAAAGACTTACTTTACCGCAGTGAAGAGAAGTTTAATTAAGTATTGATTTGCAAATAAAAAAAACACTTATTGTACCTTGCAGGTTTAATCAATTTAATCATTTGTGTCTAAGTTTGGTATTAAATTCAGATAAAAAGCATTATGTGGTTCAAAGGGTTATGAATACTTTTGCGAGGCACTGGACCGTTAATAGCTTGTTTTAAAAAAGAAATCCCAGTAACATCTTCACAGCTCGGGATAATGAACGGTTCACTTGTTACTTGTGAGGTAGTGGAGGACAGCATTAGGAACTTCCAAAGATTCATCATTCACCAACACTATGTCATAGGAGTCCAGATAGGACTGTTTCCTCTCCTCAACCTGAAAACAAAGAAAAAGCAACTTAGTACTGCTTGAAAAAATAAATCAAGATATCATTAAAATTCAGGCTTCTTGCCTACCTTGTCATTGAGGTATCCAATCTTGAGGATGTATTTCATATCCTGAACACCGTCCGCCATGTTCGGGTCCCCCAGGGAGTCCCCCATCAGCAAGACATTGGGTCTTGACCGTAGCTCTTCAAAATGGCCCGTGTTGAGCAGCGCACCTTCCCTTTTATTGTAGATGTGAATCAACTCTCCCTTGAAAGCCTTCAGCCTCCCCTGATCAAACACAATGAGTCAGAATATCACAGAAATCCCAGTTATGGGAGTAAAATTCATCTCTTTTGTTGGGTACAACTCACAGATTCATCAAAGTCCATGTAGTTGGAGATGACTTTGACATTTGAGTGGAAGACGTTAGCTTGCCGAATCACCTCTTCCAGGATGTCTCCGATTCCAGCAGAGAAGATGAGCAGAGGAATTCCGTGCTCGTGCAGACGGTCGAAGAAGAGCTCGTAACCCTCCCTGTTTTAGCATCGCTACTTTTTAGTGAACTTTCCCTTTAAAAAAAGTTTACAAAAAAATGTAGTATTGAAACATTCTTACCTCAGCATTGCATCAGACTCCCGCACTGCCTCGGCCAGCTCGTCTTTTTTGATTCTCTGCTCCACAAGGAGGTCATGAGCTTTGGTCCACCTATTAGAAGAACAAACCTCTTTAAACGAAACCTCACAAAATGCAGGAAACAGATCCCTAGGAGAGATAAATACTTACCACTCCACCATTAAAGGCAGCTTCTCTGAAACTGGCTTGGAAGTGTCAATCTCTATGGGATAATAAGTCTTTAGAAGATGATCCAGCTGTGGAAGACAGGACAGCAGTCTGAGAACTAACCAACGCTAACCAGGAAATCCATCTGAGGATCAAATATTGTGGAAATAAATGAAAGGAAAATGTGATATTAAACTATTTCAGATATCACAATCCAGCTTTAAAGTTTAAACCAGCTCCAAATACCAGCGAATAAGAACATTGTTATAACAGAGACATAATAAGCCATAATAATTTTTTTCTGTGCTAATTTTAAATCAATTAGTAAAAAAAGATTTTATGATTAAAACAAAACAAAAAATTCCTACCTCTTGGCGGCACTCGTCGGAGATTGCTTTGCTGTTGTCAAGTATATCTGTCAAAACAAACAATTAAAAAGCAAATATAATCAGTTAATAAAAATTATTATTTGTTTATTCTAATTGTTGCAGAATATGTTTTGCTTGTTTGTCCTTTGCATAAGAGCAGTTGTCTCTTGCTTTACAGAAAGCTTCTCCAGGAAGGTCTTCTTAGATGTACAAGGCCTAGAAAGGTGTTGCCTCATGCAGGGATGCAACTCGCTCAGAAATTTGCCAAATGGATAACAGAATTAAAACAACCTTCAAGAGGAATTTTCCCAAAGATCCAAAATCTGTTAACCAGGTGGTTCGCTGCTCAGGGGTAGAGATTCCCATCTATCCTGTCCCATCAGACTACAAGTCTGTGTCCCTGTCCTGTCTGATGCAGAAACACCCAGATTACACTGAGGTGTAATTGGGCCCTTGATTTTACGTTATTACATCATGTTCTACTCACCCATATAAGTTTTATGTCATTTGGAGCCGTTTTGAAGATATTCGGTTAGGTTTTATCCAAGTAACGTCTTCCTATGGGCAACAAGTTGAAGGCACAAACTAAACTGTTCATTATTTATTCTTTATGGTACGCCAGCATTCATAACATGTAGGCGAATCACTGTCCCCCAGACATCCACGGTTATATTTTTTATATTTATATCTTTTAAAAACAAAGCGCTACTTGGATATAACCTAACCGAACATCTTCAGAACGGCTGTGTGACAAAAAACTTATATGGGCGAGTAGAACATGATGTAATAACGTAAAATCAAGGCCCCAATGTAAAAAAAAACCCGAAGTTCCCCTTTAAAAACTGAGGACCAACTACAATGGACAACCTACACGTCCTCCTTTGTCTTTTTGCCAACTCCATCAACAGAAACTGTTCCTCTTTGATGTCTAGCAACTCTAGATCCATCTCTGTGACATCTTGCAGATGCGCCATTGTTGTTTTAAACACTCCCGCCGGCGCCGCCAAAGTTCTCGTGAGTTCTTGAATAGGCTCCCCCTTGCGCTTTGGTGGGAAACTGCTGTGCTTTCCTAGATTTCCAGACCGACAGTGCAGAAGCATAGCGGCAAAACTGGATTCCGACCAGACCCAAGCGACATTTGATGTGTGCGGATGCAGAAGTATAATCTGCCCTTAAGTCTTTCACTAAAGGAGCTGCTCAGCTCCTCTACAGACTGGTGCAGAGGGTCAGAGGGGTCGTGCATGATGGTGTTAGCTTGGACAACACTCTCCTCTCAGTCCCTTCCTTCACTGAGTCCAGAGTGCAGCCCAGGACAGAAGTGGCCCTCCTCACCTGCATGTTCAATCTGTTTCTGTCCCACTCTGTGCTGCCAGGGGCCCATCAGACAACAGAGGGCAGAGGCCACTACAGAGTCATAGTAGTTTTTAAGCAGGGGCCTGCTCACTCCAAAGGACCTCAGCCTCCTCAGGAGGTGGAGGCTTATTCTGAACTTTAAGCTTATATTTATTATCAGTTCTTTAATAAATGCCATGCATCATTCAAAGAGACATAGCTGAGTATGTACTTACTGTGACATGTAGGACATCGCTTCCCGTTGTAGGAGAATCTCGTGAGAGTCATGTCAAAATCTGAGATCACCTGAATTCAACAAGGTAATGAAGATGAGTCAGAAGCGGTTTTCTTGCAGACTTTCCTGCATTTTATTACATTTCAGTGAAGATACCTGCAGGGTGTTGATGCCAGCCTTTGACATGGACTGCAGGATCTCTTGAACCCTCTGAGGATCCTTCATCAACACGGATCCACTGGAAAGCTCTGGTATCTGTTCAGATGAAACAGTGCGTGGAAATAAAATGAAAGATATCATCACACACCAACAAAACTGTTACTTTGTCACTAAAACAAACACAAATGTGACTGACAGACATCTGACTCATTTAGTTCCGTCATTATCCTGTCTTTAAAGTTCAGCCCTGGACTTGTTTTAAGCCATTTTCTTCTTTATCTGACTTACATATTTTTCTAGCTAGAGTATAGAGGTAGCTCGATGTAAACTTTAAATTCAGCAAACTATTAAACTATTCAC